TCAAATTCTATCACCTCATCTCCTACTTTTAGTGAAATTTTAGCACTTTGAACATCTATTAAAGCACCCGAAGTAGCAAGAAAAGGTCTTCCTAGAATTATTGGAATGTTAACATCTTCATCCATCTCTAACACAACAAAATCCACCGGGATTACAAACTTCCCCACCCTTAGAGGAACATCCTCTACCTTACCCTTTGGGAATTTAATAGAGCGATCGGCCAATTGTAGGGTGATGTTGGTGGGTAGAAGTTCCCCTATCCCAAGTCTTTGGTATACCGAGTATGGCATTAGGCTAACACTAGCCCCTAGGTCACACAAAGCATTATCAATTTGCATCTTGTATATTGCACATGGGATAGAAAAGTTACCGGGGTCTTTTAATTTGGGTGGCATCTTGTTCATGATAATTGCACTACAATTCTCGGTGAGACTCACCGTTTCAACCAATTCACACTTTCTCCTTCCACTCAAAATATCTTTCAAAAACCTAGCATAGTTAGGCATTTGCTTGATAGCATCGGTAAAAGGAATTGAAAGGTGAATTTGTTTCAATGTTTCAAGAAATTTTCCAAATTGCACATCTAATTTGTTTCTAACAAATTTGTGAGGATATGGTAGTTTTTGCAATTGTTTTGTTTCTCTCTCTTTTTCTCTTCTCTCTTCACTCTCTTTTTCAAAATCTTTCTCTTTCTCAAATTCTTTTTCTTTCTCACATTCTTTCTCCTTTTCATTCTCATGGTTTTGCTCTCTCTCTTGTTCAAAATCACTTTTAAAGGGAGGCTCACTCATGTTCATCCTCTCATTGCTTTTTTTAGGAACACTTTCTTCCAAAACTTTACCACTCCTTGTTGATATAACATTTACGGGCCTCTTAGGATCTAGTCCTTGGGGTGGTAGTTTAGAAGTGCTAGTCCCTTCCTTCAAAGCATTGGCCAATTGTGAAATTTGTGTCTCTAGCATTTTATTATGGGTCATCACTTCACTAAATTTCGTTCACTTGAGGCCATGAAAGGATTGAACATTTTAGTTTGATTTTCCATCATTTCCTCCAAGCTAGACCTACTATGTGGTGCTTGTGCATAGTGGTTGTCTTGGGAAGCCCTATTACCTCTAACATTCGAATTGGACGTATTTTGATCAGAAGAACCTCTATTATTATTGTTGTTCCAATTGTTCCGATTATTAGAGTTTCCCCCTTGGTGAAATTGCCCTTGATTCCCATAGTTTCCTTGATTATTATGATTATGGTTACCATAACCACCTTGTTGGTTGTAGTTACCTTGGGGATTTTGGTCCCTTTGGTTCCTACTTCCTCATTGATTTTGATTATGGTAATCGTAATCATTTCCTCTTTGGTTATAGGAATTCCCCCCTTGTTCTCTTCTATTTGGTGGTAAGTATCTTTGATTGTCATTCCTATGTTTATTATCATAAGACAAGGCATTGACTTGTTCATTTTCATTTTCATTACCATCATCGTATTGGGGTTGGGGTTGGAAATCATAATTACAAGAAGAGGTATCATGGTCATAAGACCCACAATTTTCACAAAACAAACATCCATGAGGCATGTTATTAGAAGTAGAGGGAGAAGAGTTAGAATTCATACCTCTCCCCTTAGATTGGGAGGGATGCTCTTGTGTTGAACTAGAGGTCTCTAGTTTTGCCTTAATGGACGTCATCTCCTTTCCAAGGTTGGCGATTTGGGAGGTCAAATTGTTGATGGCATTAAGGTGATCAACGGAGTAAACCGCATTTCCTCCCTTGTTTAGAGAATCTCTCTTTCCTTCTTGCCAATCCATGTGGTGCCTTACCACATCCTCAATTATCTCTATGACTTGCTCCTCCGTCTTGTTCATAATCGGGCCACCCGCTCCTGCATCCAAGCTAGTCTTTCCTTGTGGGCTCAAGCCCCCATAGAAAATTTGAAGCACTTGATATGACGGAATGCCATGATGAGGGCACTCCCTATGATATTTTCCTGTATCGTTCCCATGCTTCATAAATGGTTTCACTAGCTTTTTGACGGAAACCTTGGATCAAAGCTCTTGCCTCGGCCGTCTTCTTTTGGGAATAGAATCTTCCTAAGAAAGCCATGGTGACCTCGTCCCAAGTTCTCAAGGAGTTAGGCCTCACCTCCTTCTCAAGCCATTCAAGAGCTCTTCCTATCAAAGAAAAAGGAAACAACTTTAGTCTCACAAACTCTTGAGTTACCCCATTTACCTTGATCGTGTTACAATATTTTTCGAACTCGTTCAAGTGTGCAAGAGGGCTCTCATGTTTTGCTCCACTATATTGCCTCCTTTCAATCAAATTAATCATTGCGGGCCGAATCTCGAAGTCATTGGCTTGAGTAACGGGTGGAGCAATGCCGCTTGAAGCTCTATAAGCTCCCGGAGTTCCCAACTCCTTTAAAGGTCTTTGAGGTGGTGGTTCCGCGTCACCCATTTGATCTCGACCCTCCTCGAAATTGGTCTCCCTAGCTGGGGGAGTAGTAAACGGCCTAGAACCGGCTCTTTTTCTCCTTCTATAAGTTTGCTTAATCTCGGGATCGTAAGGTACCAAGATCCTGTTATGAGTTCTGCGCATACACTCTCAACAAACGCAATTAGTACCAAGGCTACAAGTGTAGCCAAAAAGAAACAATCTTTTTGAAATTTTTTTTATGGTGAACTAGACTCAAGTAATCAATTAGCTATCAACAACACCGTTCCCCGGCAACGGCGCCATTTTGATGGGCGTTAGAACGGTCGTACATTCCACACTCAATCAAACACATTTATTAACAAACACCTTACAAACCAAGCATAATGACAAGTAAGAGTTCGGTCCACAAGGAACGGGATATGATTGCCAAAGATCTTTACACTTAAGCTAACTCGAAGTCAATTGGTGAATTGGGGTTCGTCAAGAAGACAAACAAACTATGGTTCTAAATCAATGAATTAAAGATTCTAGGGAATGAGATCCACTCAACCGAGGCAAATAGGCAAACGGGGAGTACAGTAGACAAGATATAGCAAGGACTATATGTAAAATCAACCTCATGCAATTAGAAAACAACTCACACTACTAAACTTAGATTCCTCATTAGTTTAGCAATAGATGATACATAATCAAATTACAATAAGTAATGACGTACTCAATTTACACTTCCATGTCAAATTAGGCATATCATACTATCAAGCTCCTTAGTCAAGGGTAGCTAAACCTATCATGAGGAACTAACAAGCAATCTCATATAATCAATTTAATTACAATACAAACATCAATGCTTCTCCCACATTTGCATAGTTAACCCAAAAGGTCGAGCTTCACCCAACCCCTAGCAAGAAGACTACTCACAACTCATGTTTATCAACATGCAATCAAGAATTAGGGTTCTAAATACTTCAATAATTGGGGAAAAGTGGTTAACAATTGAAATAACTATCATCCAATAACAAATTACCAAGAACTAAGAAGATTTAAATAACATGCAAATACCAAATGAAATCTGAAATTAAAAGGAAGAAAGTTGGAGAAATTACTAGTTGAAGCTTCAAATGTTGAATACAAATTGCCAAACTTTGAGAATAATTCTTGAATTTCACTAATACAATGATTTGATTTGATGAAAACTAAGCTAAATTAATCCTAAGGAATGTTTCAAACTAAGAGAGGTTTCTGAAAACTAGGCTACTGTCTTTCTTCTTTTTCAAAAACGATCTCAAAAGGACCTTAAATAGTCCGTACAAAATTGGCTGAGATCGGGAAAAGGTCCGACCGAACTCTGGGTAGGTTCGGTCGGACTCAGGGTAGGTTCGGTCGAACCCTGTGTAGGTTCGGTCGAACCTCCCTGATCCTTGTTTGGTCGAACTTTTGAGGTTCGACCTCTCCTGCAAAATTGCTGAAAACTGGTTTGACACTGCCTTCACTGCACCCTGGAGGTTCGGACAAACTTTTCAAAAGTTTGACCACACCTAGGTTCGACCGGACCTTTCAGGGGTTCGGCCACACCTCCTCTTGCACTTCCTTTTCTTGCTTCCTCTCCTTCCCTTTTGCTCCTCTTGCCTTTGTCCATGGCTTCCATACTTGGCCAAGGGGCCTCCCACCGTGCATAGGACCGTCATGGAACCTGCAGAAGATACCAAAGTTCACGAGAGCATGGGGATGATAAAATAATGCATAAAGATTATCAAAATAAGCGCAAATAAGCATTACTTTTCATCAACACATAAAGAAGCCATAAGAGGATAAATGAGGTGGAAAAACCTAAGAAAAATAAGAGGAAAAAGACCTAAATACTACCCCTAAGAGTGACATAAATGTCACTCATCAAGCGCCCTCTCCAATCTTCAATCCTCTTGTCTTAAACACGATTCATGCACCGAAAGCCTGCCTAATTGAGTCCATAGACCTGCAAAACATGGACAAACACAAACCAAGAGGGGGGGAAAGCCGAGACAAAACATTTTCATTCAAAATTGGGTTAGAAAGAGGGGAAATGATCGCAAAATCGGGTTTAAATTTACACAATAAGTGGTCAAATAAACCACTTATCAAGGGGCGGCGGCGGAAGGGGCGGCGGCAGCGGAGGTGGTTTCGGTGTTTGTGAGAATGAGGGTTGCTTTAGTGAGAGAAAGAGTGTAAAATTCGGTTGTGAGAATGTGAAAAACGCCCAGAAACTGGGTTTATGCCCCGCAAGAAACGCTGCCTGAGGCAGCGTTTTACAGTATTGGGGTATTTTTTTTTTTTAAATAAATTATGAAATACGAAATTTGGCCAAAAAAAGTCAAACAAAGTAAAACGCTGTCTGAGACAGCGTTTTACCCCAGAAGCTTAGTTTAGGAAATACTTTTGCCACGAGACCAATTTGGTAAATACTTTGCCAAATTAGCTCACTTTGGTAAAAAATCCCAAAGGTGGTTAATACAAGTATGTCATATTAAGTGGGGCTGGCTTCCCATTGTATGTCAACCCAAATTCTATCTGGCCATCCGATCTGGCACCTCTAAGCATTATTCAATGAATTATTTCTTTTATTAGTTGTAAAATCGAGTTCAAGCGCCAAGCTGCCCTCTCTCCATCCCCACTTTTTAACCAAAAAATCCCAAATTGAGAATCAAATTGATTTTGTGCATATTCAAACTCTTACAGAAATCCAGCTCAATCACTCGCTACTTCACTAACTACACAATCGTTTCCGTTTATTCTTTCATTGTTTAACTCTTTCCAATAAAAATTGAATAAATATTTTAGATTTGGGGGTTTAGTTGAACCCATTAAACCCCCTTAATTAACCCACTAATGGCCGATAATCTCGACAATAATAATGATAAATACAATGTTGAAGCTGCTGAGATTTTGGCAAACGAAGCATTGGTAATTTTTACTACTTGATTTTCTGACCTAATTTCTTGTTATTCAATTTCTTACAATTTTTCGTATAATTTGATATTATTATTATTATTATTATTAATTTTTTTTTTAATTTTTTTTAATTTTTTTTTTTTTTTTTTTTTTTTTTTTTTTTGTGATTAGCATCTGCCAATTACTGAAGCAATTCCTATTTATGAACAACTTCTGGCCATATATCCTACTGCTGTAAGTGCGCTCTATTTAAATTTCCTATTTAAAATAATTTGTTACGCTAAGTTTGTTATATAGGAACAGATCATTGTTATGTTCAAAGTAATAAAATTTCGGGTTTTGGCAATATATGAATCATGTAATGATAAATTGGAATCATTGTTATGTTCAAAACTACATTGGTTTGATTTACTTTTTTTGTTCGATTTTAATGGCAATGGGTGATGTGAAACAAGCAACAAGCAATAATTTTGCTAATATAATTTTCAAACCCCAAGATGTTAAAGTTTGTAGAATTTTGTGATTATGTTTGGAAGTTAAAGCAAAACAATAAAGATGGAAACTTGACGAGGAGGGGGAGATAAAGAAAATCATTGGCCGGATAAAATAATTTTGAAATTAATTGCAACTTCCCTAAAAGGAATACATTGCGATTTAATAAGAATGAGTTATATGTACGAAGTATTGATCTAAACTGAATAAGTTGATGTTCAGGCAAAGTTTTGGAAGCAGTATGTGGAGGCACAAATGGCTGTCGATAATGATGATGCTACAAAACAAATCTTTAGCCGTTGTCTAATGATTTGTCCTCAAGTTCCTCTTTGGTGAGTGAGATCTTCTATTTCCTTTGGGCTTTACTATGGATAATCTGACATTATAACTTGCTATGTGAATCTGGTCTTAGGTTTGTACATGCCTTCTAATTTGGAGTTGCTGTTTGTGATATACGAGTATCTTTTGATGTCTTCTAAGTGTACTTTTCTTGTTTATTAATACATGTCTCACTGTGTGCTCCATATTGTGTCTAAAAGGAGGTGCTATATTCGTTTTATAAAGAAGGTTAATGAAAAGAAGGGCTTTGATGGTCAGGAAGAAACAAGGAAAGCCTTTGATTATATGCTGAATTGTGTCGGTAAGTTAACTCTTTTTGCAAAACATATATAAAGAACTTTCAGTAAGATGTTTCTGTACTGAATTTTTTCCAATGACTGGTATGACCACCACCTTTTTCCCATTTGTTCGTTCAGTGATTCATGGTAGGATAAGTAACTAGTTTGACAGAAGGATATAATTCATATAACCATCAGTTGGTGAGTTGGTTCATTATTATCCTCATCATCTACAGTTACATGTTTGATGTTTTGGGCATGGAGCAAAAGAACTTAATTGCCTTAGCGTTGTGTTTACCAAGTAGGGTATAGCCATCATTGCTTCCTGTAAACAACTTCTGTTATGTGGACTTAGCTAGTGTATGCGATTTTTGGGGCTTCAGGTTGCAAATTCATGCCTGTGATCTGAATTGGTCAAATGCCTTTTTGAAGTCTATTTTGTTGCCACCCTCTTGGTCAAAGTTTTTAATGTAAATCTATGGTTTTTTTACTTGGATAAACCACTAAAGACAGGCTTGCAGTTTATAGTCATACTGCAAAAGCAGGTGGAATTGGTCCTGATTATAGCAATTGATTGAAGGGTGTGACAGTTGAGAGATGCTTGATGCTTTTAATGATACATATTTTTGTAACAGGAGCTGATGTTGCATCGGGCCCTGTATGGTTAGAGTACATCAGCTTCTTGAAGTCCTTACCGGTTAGTCACACTTATCTTTACATTACCTTCTTCAATGATATATGTGCATTCTAACAGTGTTTTGGCAGGCTCGTTCAGCACAGGATGAGACTCATCGTATGACTGCTGTTCGCAAAGCATATCAAAAAGCTATTATCACTCCAACGCACAATGTTGAACAACTATGGAAGGAATATGAGAATTTTGAAAATTCTGTTAGCCGCGTACTGGTAATTTTGATCTTTTATTTTGTGTTTTTTCAAGAATATTTTTACTTCTTTTAGTATATAGATGTAAACAAGTGCAAAAGTGTGTTATTCCATTCAGCATTGTTTTCAATGTACCATCTTAAGTATTGTAATGTACCTTGTTTGGACATGCACTACATAACTCTTTATTTTAGCTCCCTTATTGTTACTCCCTTCATTTCCTAATGTTAGTCCCAATTTAGAATCTTTTGACTATTAAAAAATAGAGGGAATCTTCTAAATTTCTCTCTATATACAAGAACAAATATAGTCATATGAGATCCAGTTTTATTCGTCTCGATGAGCATTTTTTTAATTTGTAATTTTTATAATTTTTGCTAGTGTGAGATTAAAGATATTTGCGATAAAAAATTTGCATCGATATACATAAATAGGACTAATATTATGAAACGGAGGGAGTATTATATTTATAATGTTTGCCATTGTAAACCGTCTTGTTCTAGGCATGAAGTGTATGCTGTTATGTAAGACAATATTGGCGAGGTGTTGTTGAGGCACCTGAAGGCCCATTACTTTAGCTTCCAATTCCTTTATTGGGAGATAACTAAAGAAGTTATGACTCATGAACTCTTTGTACATGATGGGGATGACAAGTTATCATATTAAATTTATCAATATAGCTAATTTCATTCAACGTGATTCTAGATAATTTGATATTGTAATTTTGGAAATATGCAATGTGAGAGCCTGGTTCTTTTCACAATATTTAACTGAACTAATATCATTTTTACTGTACTTAGCTGATTTTTACTGATTAAAACTTATTTTTACTTCCTTATTATTCCCTGTGAGCTTTTAATGTTCCCATCAAGTATATAAACATATACAAGTGCGGAAGTGCCTATGTAAGTGAATTAAATTTGGTGTAGTTTATAGACGACCGACCCATTAGTGTGGGTCCTTACTGCATGGTTTCTCGAGGTAAAATTTCATTGTCCTCATTCTTACCAAATTGCTAAGTTTTGATTCCCTTGTCAAAGCCTGTACACCCGTTGCTTAAAAGTAATCCTGAGTCTTACATGTTTATGTGTGTTATCAATCCTGCTGCTCATGATATAACTTACTTTGGTGTTATTATGAAAATATTCATGTATGTAGTTTAAGGACTTTCATTTCTTTTGTTTTTTTCTTTCTTATTTTTTTTGTTAAATACCTAATAGGCCAAAATGCATAAAATAATCACCTAACATCTTGTATTAGTCTTCATGTCTTAGTGACGACTTGTCTATTACTTATCCTTTCACTCAAGCTCAAGTGAGTCTGAAAACATTATGTGGAGATCACCACTCAGGCTTTCTTTTTGCCGCATTTGTGCATGGGTTCAATGAAGTTGCATCTAACTGCTGTCAAGATATTAAGGTGCAATTTTGAAAGTAGGGCTTGATGCTTGACTTAATGAGTTTCACTTTCTAGTGATAGTTGATGTCATAGAGTTTACTTGGGCTAGCTTTTTATTCTGACTAGGTGTACTATAAGTGGGTGTAATGCGGAGGGTGTTATTAAATCGAGCTTACCTCTTTACCCATAGTGCTAGGGATCCATTTCCTAGAAAACTCTAAATTAAGTATTCTTTAAGATAAGAAAATTTCAGACCAGATTAGATCTTTTTTTTTTTTTTTTTTTTTTTGCTTATTGCCATGTATCTTTATCTTTGTATTTAAAAAATATATGTTGAGTGAACCTAACAAGATCCTATCTTCACATTTCAAACCAGGCCACACCACATCAGAAAAATTCAAACCACACCAGAATTTTAGAAAATTCAGACAAGAACACCTTATTTCAGGCAAAGAGAACAAAGCTTTAGTGCCTTAGCTTGCTGTAATGAACTTCATATTACACATGGTTCTAAGAGATGAAAATGGTGATTTTGTTTAGCAAACCTGAATTACAAAAAGATAAAGAATAATTACAAGTATTCAAAAGACTTGACCCTCTTGCAAATCTATCAAATAACAACTCAAATATTCTGGATGCCTTTTCTCTATGCCTACTCTCCCTGTTCGTAATAAATCTGATGACTACTAACAGAATAATATTAGACTTTCCATGATGCCCCTCCCCTAGGTTGGCTCATTACACCTACTTAGGGGGCTTGTTATTCAGTAGAACTGAGGCTAAATGCTCTAGGGCAATCCTCTAAAACCTTATCATTATGTATAGTAGGAGGATTGAATGATTGAAAGTTTTACTACTGGGCTTTGTTTGATATGATAGAATATCATGTCCGATGTATATCTTCCTCGTTGCCTTTGATTATCAGTGATATTTTCTTGAGGGAAGTGGAGTTGACTCTAGGCTATATGCAGGCTTATCGTTACATTTGGTTTAGCCATGGAAATGACCACCAGCCCTATATTTTTGTCTCGTTTTCTTAATCCACCTTATTTGGATTGGACCATGTTGGTCTATTTGTATCACTCTCTTTTGCTACCTAAATATGAATATCTCTAGGGAATTAATTTCTGCCTTTCTTAAGAGTTGAAGCTGTAGCATAAACCTTCCATTACCAGTTCCTAGTTGTGTTTTGATATGAGCTTGTCCAACATATAAGTTCTATTTCTCAGGCTAGTTGAGAAAGAAAGTCTATTAAAGAATATGCTACAAGGGGGCACATAAGATAGATGAATGAGATATGAACTTTCTTTTGCATGCTACACAATCGCCCAAATTTGTACCAAGTAGCAAATTTGAGCTACCCTTGAAAGGATTTTGAGGAAATATCCCCTCTCTAACTATTAATACTTAACTTAGAGAGGGTTCTGGATAAGAAAGAAAACTTTATAATCAGAGTGAATATTTAGAAAGAGAATAGATAGATAAACGCAAATCTGTAACATTTTTTACTGTATTGAAATGTGTAGCCAAATTTTTTTACAGGAGAAAAAGTGACTTGGTTCTTACTATATGATTCTTATATGAAAAATTAGAGGTTTTTATAGGTGTATTGTGGATAGGTAATCCCAGTGGACCAATGATCGGCTGACGGCTATCATTTTCAATTTAATATTGGGTTTTTGCATAGCAATGGTACATGTATCTGGTCAAATTAAGTCCCCTTAGCAAGGATGCACGGGTACGCCTCCTCTATGCCGTTTCCGTACTGGGGACGGAACCGGGTATGGGTACGCCTAGGATACGTCCCCACGGTGTACCCTTGAAAAGTGGTGCGGGGAGCCTTTTTGGGTACGGCTTTCAGGCGACTTGGGGACGTTTCGGGGACGGCTTTGGTACTTTTTGGACGTCCCCTAGTACAAATGGAAGCCGAACCCTAAAAAAAAACCCTCTTTAATTACTTACCTTTGCGATTTGAATACCCTAAATCTTAAAATACACAGATGATGGAGTAGATTGGCGACCTGCTGTTGTAGGCCTGTTGCCCGACCACCATCTCCGACCAGGCGACCACCAGCTGCGGAGTCCTCTGCTTCTTTCTCTCGCTCTCTGTTTCTTTTGTTTGATTTTTTTTTCTGCATTCATTGAAGTTTTTTTTCTTTTTTTTCTTTCTTTCTTTTCAATCATAGGTGTGATTATGTGGGTTTTTCTTTTTCTTTCAAAGAAAAAAAAATGTGGGTTTTTCTCTATATTTCGATTCCTACTATCAGTAGGTTTTTACTTTTTTTTTTTCCTCTTGTGATTTTAATCATTAATGTTGTTATGTTGTGAATTTTTTGATTATTAAAAAAAAACTTTTTATGGATTTATATTTTGCTGATTTTTTTTAGCGTATCCATGCCGTACCCGTTTTTGGAAATTTTGATTTTGCCGTATCCCGTCCCCGTATCCGTACCCGTTTTTGTACCCGTATCTGTTTCTGTGCAACCTAGCCCCTTAGCATCTTCCATATTTCGAGTATATGGCAGTACTTGAGCTTTCGTTTATATAGTTCTTTAGTCAGGACTAGATGTATAGTATACTATGGTTAGCTTATACTTTGTATGCTGGATCAGTCGCCATAGAGGCTTGCTGGATGAGCTGGGCTCCATATGCTCACTAATGCTGGTCTTGAAATGAAAAATACTGATGCATTATGATGCTTCATAATTATCTGCATATGTGATGGCTACTTAATTTTATTTACTCTTATCAATTTTTTTTTTTTATTTATTTATTTATTTATTTATTTTTTTTAATGGAGAAAATGGTCCTTGGTAGCATAAACTTTGATTTTGAATACTTGAGAAGCCGTATAGTATCATGATTAGAAATGTGGTAATTGTTATGCAGGCTAAAGGACTTATATCGGAGTATCAACCAAAATTTAATAGTGCAAGAGCTGTCTATAGAGAGCGGAAGAAATATGTTGATGAAATTGATTGGAACATGCTGGCCGTCCCACCAACTGGTTCTTGCAAGGCAATGCATATGTATTAGTTTTGATTTAAGATTGTATCTTGTTTGTTTCAAAATTTTGGCCCTTTTGTTGGCATATGCTATGACCATGCAAGGATAGTGTGGTTAATCATGTTTATTTAGTCACTTGTTAAAGTGTCATACATCATTTGTAGTTAAAACTCATCCTCTTCCCATGCCTTCATGTTTAATGCATGTTAAGCCAGTCACTTGTAGTTTTATACATTATTTATTGTTAGAACTCATTCCTTCACACTTTATGCCTATTTTGGGCCTTTTGTTTGCATATGCTATGGCCATGCAAAGATACTGTGGTTAATCATGTTGATTCATTCACTTGTTAGAGTGTCATAAATCATTTTTTAGTTAGAACTCATCCTCTTGCCATGCCTTCATGTCTAATGCATGTTAAGCCAGTCACTTGTTGGAGTGTCATACATCGTTTGTAGTTAAAACTCATTCCTTCACACTTTACGCCTTCATGTCTCATGGTTGATTTTTCTTTGAATGTTTACAGGAAGAACAACAATGGATGACATGGAAAAAACTTTTAGCATTTGAAAAGTAAGTATTGTTACTGTAAGCCTTTCACATTTTGTTTAGTTACTTGTAGTTTATAAAGTGTAGTATTGTGTATCATTCCCCGTTTCCCAATTTTTATGTCCTTGAAATATTTGTCTGGACATTTCGATTTGTATTATGATCTCATTATTGCCAGCTTTATCTTGTAATTTTAACACAAAATTGTGATGTGTTCATCTATAAGAAAATTTAGGGGGTATCATATACCTTCTTTTCTTTTGAACTTATTATCAGCCTTACTTGGGATGACTGTGTGCATTCTTGATCTACCAAAGACATCCTTGTGGCTTGGAAAGAAAGATGAAGAAAGGTGGATTGCTTAATTGTAGAGGATGGTTCTGTTTGCACGTTATGGTGAACTTAGAAAGCAAGTAAAACCAGGTGATTTTAAGGATAGACTTTCCCAACTTCAAATCATGGTATATTTTAGTTTTTAGGCCATTGGATAGCTGGTCAAGTGTTAGAAACTCCTCACTCAACAAAATGGTTCTGCTTTACCTCCAATGTAGAGGATTTTCAGACTTACTGTTTCTCGTTGTCACACTCATCAAAAGAGTTCTTGTCTTACCTCTAATGTAGAGTATTTTCAGACAAGATATGTTGGATTAAAAAAATGTGATCTAAAATATTTGGATTTGTTCACATGTCAATTTCCATTTCTGTGAGTCAGAAGAATTGTGGTTATGCCCTAGACCTGCTTTGTCATGGACTTTGATCTGGTGGCATTACATATTATTGGTTGCTTTATAAGTGGGTTCTCCTTCTTCAAAGATCCAGCAAATTCATTCTTCTCCCTGTGGATAAAAAATAGCACCGTAGTTACGTTTCTGTTTATGCTTCCGAATAACTTTGGAAGTGAAAAGTTTAGGTCAGAGTTTGTACGCATAACCTCATGGCTGTGTAACAACCTTATCAGACTAAAGTAATTCTAGTATATTTTTTTAATAGATCCGTACATAACACTAGATGTATGTACTGTTTCATTCTTGTAGTTGCTTTATGATATCTGCTTAAAAAGTTGGTTCTGTGCTTCAAACCAACACAATGCTTTCCTCCACATCTGTCCTTTTGTTTATTCTGCTATAGTTATGTGCTTATTGAAAATGTCTGCTTTGCAGGGGGAATCCTCAAAGGATTGACAGTGCATCATCTAATAAAAGAATTGTCTTTGCTTATGAACAGGTAGAGTAATAGATGTATGCATTTATGCAGAAGTATACTAGATATGCTTTTGTTATGTTCTTCTTTTAGTGATCTATTTTCCCTTTCAATGCTTTTCCAATCTATGCGTCTCGGACTCGGGTACCCATGTCTGACACGGTTACATGTCCACATGTCCAAGTGTCCGACTCGGCTATTTTGCTTAAAAGTTTTCATGATTTTGAACTAAAATGAAGTGTTTAAGTGTCCACCCATGTTCGAGTGTCAATGATCCGATACGGATACTTGAGGTGAATGAAGAGTCTGTGTAACATAGTTTCCGATTAATTTTTTCTCTTTTTTCATTTTTTTTCTCTCTTTATTTTTTTTTTCTAATTATATCCCTTTTCCCCACCGCATTAAATATTGAATGAATGGATGTACATATATAAAGTGGTGGGCTAGTTTCAACATGCAAGTTGTTTTAGTATCATTAGCTGTTCTGTAGAATTTAGCATGCTTAAGTGATGATTGTCTCTTTTCTTAAATTATATTACTTCATGTGCCGGACTTCATTTAATTGAATTGCTTTCTTTCTTTCAAAAAAAAAAAAAAAAAAAAATTTATGCGCTCTGAAGGGAAAAATAAAGCTTGAAGCAAAAAGGAAAAGAAAAACAAAAGTGTATAGTTACCTAATTTTGAGGCTTGCTTACCCAAAGAAAGTTCAAGCTAACTTGGATGACTGTTTCCCTTACTGAATTTGAAGAGTGCTAAGGGGCAGACATCATTTGCATGTACCTCAAATTTGTGCCTGTACTATCTGCAGTATTATCTGTGCTTTTGAGCAAGCAGTCATTTCTTGGCTAACTTTATAACGTCAGTATGAGCCTATGAGGCAGCTAATACTGAAAACCTTGCAACTCTGTGTTCATCTAAATGATCATACATCTGCTAAGCTAGTGGTTCCTATTGCTGTTCTAATTTTGTTTCTCATGGTTTTTGTTTGATATTTGTGCTCTTATTGTCCTATTGTCACTTCATAACTTTCCCTTGCTTTTTGTATGATACCAGTGTCTGATGTATTTATATCATTATCCTGATATATGGTATGACTATGCTTCATGGCATGCAAAAAGTGGTTCTGTAGATTCTGCTATCAAAGTTTATCAGAGAGCTCTGAAGGCTCTTCCTGGTGATTTTCTTGCTTTTGACTTCTCATAGCTTCTTGTCATGTTTTAATTAATAGGCAGTCTACGCTTTCTTCATGAAATGATAGTGTCTCTGCCTTTTCCTTGTGGGCTTTCTGAATATTCTTATTTTCTTCCTCAAGCAGGTTCTGAGATGCTGAAGTATGCTTATGCTGAGCTGGAGGAATCCCGTGGAGCAGTCCAGGTGAACTTTTCTTGCTTTATCAATTTGATCATTTATATGAATTTTTTTTATCTAAATAATAACTTTTCTTACTCGATGCAGCCTGCAAAGAAGATTTATGAGAGCCTGCTGGGCGATGGTGTGAATGCAACAGCCCTTTCACATATACAAGTAATGTGTGGTAGAAATTTCTAAGGACTTTTCTATTAATCAAAGTTGTCTTAGAGCAGTTTTTCCTGAGGCAAAGAGCACTCAATTAGCTATATAATATGAATATAAAGGTCTTGTCATAATCTCCCTTTTAAGAAAGTTGTTTGAGATTATGCAAGCTGATTATCAGGCTTTAAGATTAAGGATAGCTCACCAAATTGACTATATGGATTTAAGCAGTTAAGCTCAAGTCTGAACCCAATGTATTGGTTTCAATTTGTTTTGTGCATCCTGCACCACAATTATGAATACATATTGTATCAGCTGATCATTCTATTGCACTTAACAAGCTCAACCAATGAACTGTCATACTGTAATTTAGATGGACATTATTGAACATCTCATGTTCCCTGTCCTTTTCTGACATTTGTTGTTGACCCTCTAATCAATCTTTGCTTTATAACCTTCAAGAGTATGACATCTTTCTGAGATTGATATTCGTAAAAGTTTCATCATATTTACGTGAACGACGTGTCATTGATTTCCTTTGCTATAGTTTTCTCAAACTTGTATTATTTTTTTTATACTTCAACGTTTTAACCACTCCTTTAAAACTTCCTTGAATTTTTTTCTTGGTTCTCTTTTAAAACTCCCTTAATCTTTCTTGGATGCTCTTTCCTTTTCTCACTTTACTCACCTTTTTTCAAACTCTTCTAACTGGTTGTCTTGTTATGTCCCTTTCTTTATATCGAACGATTCCTTATGACAATTTATGTTAGCTGAATCATTGTGGGACTAAGGCTTTGTTGTTGTATAAGGAAAAAAAAAAATCTAGCAGGATCTTGTTAGGTTTTAATGTGAATTTTCAAAATGACTGATATATTTTTTAGTGACACATAAATTAAAGTTTCTTTAGAAATTAAACGGAAATAAGAAGTTTTGGTCTGACCTGGTGTGCTTTTTGGCAAGAATAAATAAAAAGTTCAGGCATTAATGTTCTCAGCTGGCTCTTGTTGAAAGAGTTGCCACATGTATGTGCAGCGATATTTCTTCCCTGGAGACCTTATCTGTGTGTACTCTTGTGATTCTGCAGTTTACATAGTTGATTTGCCAAAGTTTTGTTGGCTATTCTTGTTTAGTCAAAGTTGATGACTACCGGTGATCAGGATTCTTTGAAGATTGTTTCTGATATTTGATCACTTGAATTATAAAAACTTTATTATGGATCTTTTAAAGGAGTTGAGGAAAGAGATTAATAATCAAGGATTTTGGTCTTTGCCTTAGGGTGACCTGTATTTGATGATGTTTATTCCATTGTACAGCATCTCTTCTCAAATACTGAATCTATAGCATGTTGATAAGTGCTTTCCTTTGGTAGAATATTCTTGTAATTTTGTCTTTTCAATCTCTAACTTTTGCTTTGTGATGTTTGATGCTCCAGTTTATAAGATTTCTTAGAAGAAGTGAAGGAGTTGAAGCTGCCCGCAAGTATTTTCTGGATGCCCGCAAGTCACCTAATTGCACTTATCATGTATATGTTGCATATGCAATGATGTCTTTTTGTCTTGACAAGGATCCAAAGGTAGTTCAATGCTCTATAATCTATTCCCCAATTTCTTATTAATTAAGATCATGTGTATGATTACTACGATATAACAAGTACTACAGTTTTATAAATCACATACCTGCAATGAACCCACAACCACCTCCAATTACCTTGGTGTACAGCAGGAGACAAAGACAGACACAGCAGAGCAGTCCTCCACTACAAGCACAAGCACAGGCAACAACACAATCAACCTAGCAACAACGGTTCTCTGAAGTGGCAGGGACTTTGGATTATTAGCTTTCACTGTTGGTAATTTAGCTAGAAGACAAGTAGTAGTAAATGTATCAATTAAGGCCTTTGGCCACATTATGTAGTACATGCTAAGTAGTATAAGTAGAGAAGACCTAAGGAGAGAAGGGCATCCAGAAAATTGTAGCAAGAACTTGGAGAGTAATGGCCTAAAGCCGTTGACGCTATTACGCAAGCTTTAAGCTTTATCAATCAAACAACCTTTCGACCATTTGTGTTGCTCGTATCACGCTAGTCCGTTGCAGTTGGTATCAGAGCAGCCATGGCACCGAAGGCGCTGACGGTAACCGTCGAACGGGTAGCAGCACTCGAAGAGCGATTGGAAGAGATAAGCGACAAGGTTGGAGATGGAGAGAATTCTCTCCAACAGATTCTGATAAAGAATCAGGAAGAAGAGGCACGCAAAAATCGAGAAGCCATAGAAGAGGCTAGAGGCCCGAGTAGACCGATTTCACGACAACTAGAACCAACAAAATGCTCTAATGAAAAACAAGCAAGACAAGTTTTTTGCATAAATCAAAGGAATGATGGCAGCCTTGTAGAATAGAGGCAAGACACCCCGAACGGCAGAAGAAGAGGTGGAGCAGCCGCCTGGTGCTGGTGGCTCTTACGGCCTCCGATTCGAAAACTGGGATCCCGGAGTCGGAGGAGGGTTTTAGAACCACGGCGATAACCAAGAGAATCGAGGGAATTGGAAATACCGGAAACTAGATATGCCGGTTTTCGACGGATTTCACCTAGATGGGTGGATACTCCGGGGAGAGCAATACTTTCAGGTTTACGGACTGACGGAGGTGGAGAAGCTACAAGCGGCGGTCGTGGCTATGGGCGGCGATGCCTTGAGGTGGTACCAATGGGAGAGTAGACGCTGGCCGTTGATTGGTTGGGAGGACCTCAAAGGCCGGATTTTAAATCAATTCCGACCAGTAAATTCAGGCACCCTCCACGAGCAATGGCTTGCGGTGGGGCAGCTAACGTCGGTGGTGGAGTATCGACAACTGTTCATCGAGAAGGCTTCGCCTCTACTGGACATCCCGGAGAGTATTATGAAGGGCCAGTTCATCAACAGCTTGAAGGAAGAGATAAAGGCGGAGAACCGGATGTTAAACCCACTGATCCAGCTTCTACGTTGGTTGGAGTCGTCCCAAACGCTAGCCACAAACACATTCCTTTACAACCCAAACCGTACCAACTCACAAATGAGCTAAAACCAAAGCCAAACCCAAACTCCACAAACTTCTATAGCATCTGTAAACAACCCAACCCACTCCTACCAAAATCGAACCAATCCAAGCTCATCTAGATTCAGTGGTGAAGTGCAACCATTTACTGAGAAAGAAATCCAAGATAAAAAGGCAAGAGGCCTTTGCTTCAAGTGCGACGACCGGTGGACAGGACCCACCCACGTTTGCACGGCCTAGGGCTTGAGTGTACTACTCGTGGAAGAAGATGAGTATGAGAGTGGAGAATTGCAGGCGTTAGAGACCCCCGTTAAGGAGGAAGAAGTACCAGCCACCATTTCCATCAACTCCATTGTCGGACTTACAATCCCAAAGCCATGAAATTGATCGGAGCGATTAATGGGCAACCGGTGGTGGTGATGATTGACCCCGGTGCCACCCATAATTTCGTTTCATCCTCGGCCGTAGTGAAGCTCAGACTACTCGTCACGGGAACACACTCCTTTGGCGTGTCATTGGGGAACGGAGAGGCAGTAAAAGGGCGCGGCCAATGCCGAGGAGTACGCCTGAAATTGAATGAAGAACTCGAGGTGGAGGAGTTCTTAACCCTCCAGTTGGGCAATTCAGATGTAATATTGGTTGTTCAATGTTTAGAGAAGCTAGGACCGGTGTTGACTAATTGGAAGCTGTAAGAAATGAGCTTCTAGTTGGAAGGCAAACCGGTGGCTATTAAAGGGGACCCAACCCTTTCTCGAACCGGAGTGACACTCAAAACTATGATTAAAACACTTCGGAAGCAAGGAGGTGGACTCCTAGTGGAGTTAAATCAGATTGAAAAGGGGGAAGGGAACGAAGAAGGCGAAATTTCCACATTTGTGCAGGGCATGTTGGAGGAGTTTGGTGAAGTTTTCGAGGAACCAAAAGGGCTGCCTCCCGGTAGAGGGCACGAGCACTCAATCCTGCAAGGAGGGGTGTAACCCGGTAAGCGTTCGACCTTACCGTTACCCCCAATTTCAGAAGGACGAAGTAGAGAAGCTCATTGGAGAAATGTTAACAGAATCATACGACCATCTACAAGTCCGTTCTTTGCTTTTAGTGAAGAAAAAAGACGGATCATGGCGCTTTTGTGTTGATTATCGGGCACTTATCAAAGAAACCGTGCTCGATAAGTACCCTTTCCGGTGATCGATGAATTGTTGGATGAGTTGAATGGCGCTCAAATATTCTCCAAACTTGATCTTAAGGCCGGATGTCATCAAATCCTTGTTCGGCTGAAGACACCCATAAGACGGCATTTCGTACTCACGAAGGCCACTATGAGTTTTTGGTAATGCCATTTGGGTTGACTAATTCCTCGGCGACGTTCCAAGCACTTATGAATGAGGTATTCCGTCCATTTTTACGTAAATTTGCTCTCGTATTTTTTGACGATATCCTTGTTTATAATTCAAGCAGGGAAGAATACATTGATCATCTTAAGATGGTGTTGGCTACTCTCAAAGCTCACTCTGTTTGCATATCTCAAAAAATGTGAATTTAGGAAAGAAGTTGTAGCTTACTTGGGTCACATGCTTTCCAAAGAGGGCGTGGCTATGGACCAAGAGAAAATTTGATCCATGGTGAATTGGCCCGCCCGAAATGAGGGATCTAAGGGGCTTCTTGGGCCTTACTGGGTATTATAGAAAATTCATAAGTCACTATGCCCATATAGCCCACCCCTTGACATACCAACTCAAAAAGGATAATTTTGGGTGGTCCGAATCTGCCGAGCAAGCATTCCTCCAACTAAAGGCGGCAATGACATCGGCACCGGTCTTGATAATGCCGGATTTCAAGAAAATGTTCGTGGTTGAATCAGATGCATCCGGATTTGGGCTGGGCGCGATGTTAATGCAGGAGGGCCGACTGGTGGCCTATTTCAGCAAGGTGTTGGGACCCGGTGGCTGGAGCAAATCGATCTTACGAAAAAGAACTCATGGCGGTTTGCTTGGCAATTCAAAAGTGGAAGCATTATCTTTTGGGAAGGAGGTTCATCGTGAGGAGTGATCAACAAAGTTTGGAGTATATTATGTAACAAAGGGAGGTCAGTATGGAGTACCAAAAATGGGTGAGAAAGCTAATCGGGTTCGACTTTGACTTGCAATACAAACCGGGGGTGTCGTATCGAGTGGCCGACGCCTTGTCGCGGCGAGGTGAAGATGAGAAGGAGGCGAAGTTGGGGGCTATAGTGGCCACACAGGGAGTTGATTGGGCAGTACTGGAGAAGGAGATTAGGGAGGATGGAGCCATTCAAAAATTGAAATCCGAAATCGCAAGCGACGGAGAGATAGTGGGGTATACGGTGGAGAACCACCAACTGTTATACAAAATCCGGTTGGTGTTACCTCGTAATTCCAGCCTGAAACAGACCTTGTTCAAGGCTTATCACGACTTACCAGAGGGGGGTCATGAGGGGGAGACTAAGACGTATTTACGGATGGCGAATGAATGGTTTTGGGTCGGTATGCGTAGAGAGATAGCGGACTATGTGCGGGATTGTGTCGTTTGTCAACGCAACAAGCTCTCTCAAAAATTCCGGAGAGGGTGTGGGAAGACATCACCTATTCCGGAGAGGGTGTGGAAAGACATCACGATGGACTTTGTAGAAGGGCTGCCGAGATCAAAAGGGGTGGATACTATTCTCGTGGTGGTGGACCGGCTCTCGAAATATGCACATTTCCTTGGACTCAAGCATCCCTTTACAGCTTATTGGGTGGCTGACATTTTTATGAAGGAGATAGTGCGATTACATGGTGTGCTAGGAAGTATAGTGACAGATAGGGATTGCATCTTTGTGAGTATATATTGGAAGGAACTTTTCCGGCTACAAGGAACCGAGCTCAAACGGAGTACCTCATACCACCCTCAAACAGACGGTCAGTCCAAAGTGGTGAACAAGCGGCTGGAAACTTATCTCTGTTGCTTTGCCGGAGATCAACCCAAGTCATGGGCAAAGTGGCTGTCGGGACGGAGTTTTCGTACAACACTTCCACCCATTCCTCGACTCACATGACTCCTTTCAAGGTTGTGTATGGGCGAGATCCACCTAGGCTGCTACGGGTGGGCTTGAGTCAGACCACAGTCGACACAGTGGAAGAGGTATTGCAAGAGCGAGATATGATGCTCGATGAGCTTAAATTGCACTTGGTGCGCGCACAACAAGTGATGAAGAGCAATGCCGATGCTAAGAGGAGGGAGGTCGAATTTAAGGTCGGCGATTTTGTGTTCCTGAAATTACAGCCATACGACAGTGTTCCCTAGCTTTAAGGCCATTTGAGAAACTTGCAGCACGTTTTTATGGTCCTTTTGAAGTAATACAACGAGTGGGGAAGGTAGCTTATAAGCTGCTACTGCCTGAGTCATGTCGACTTCACCCCGTGTTTCAGGTTTCTTAATTGAAACAAGCTATTGGGAATGTTCCAAGTTCTCCCACCATTCCTAAGCAAATTACTCCGGAGTTGGAATTAGTGGTCGAGCCGGAGACCGTGCTAGACAGAAGACCGAAGTTAGGGCAAGGCAAAGGGCTGGAGGTTCTAATCAAGTGGCAAGGAATGCCCGAGTTTGAAGCCATTTGGGAAGACGCTGAGGCTGTTAAAGCTAAGTTCCTGGACTTCCACCTTGAGGACAAGGTGGCTCTTTTGGGGGGGGGGGGTAATTGCAATGAACCCACAACCACCTCCAATTACCTTGGTGTACAGCAGGAGACAAAGACAGACACAGCAGAGCAGTCCTCCACTACAAGCACAAGCACAGGCAACAACACAAGCAACCTAGCAACAACGGTTCTCTGAAGTGGCAGGGACTTTGGATTATTAGCTTTCACTGTTGGTAATTTAGCTAGAAGACAAGTAGTAGTAAATGTATCAATTAAGGCCTTTGGCCACATTATGTAGTACATGCTAAGTAGTATAAGTAAAGAAGACCTAAGGAGAGAAGGGCATCCAGAAAATTGTAGCAAGAACTTGGAGAGTAATGGCCTAAAGTCGTTGACGCTATTACGCAAGCTTTAAGCTTTATCAATCAAACAACCTCTCGACCATTTTTATTGCTCGTATCACGCTAGTCCGTTGCAATACCCTTGCTACTGGGTGTAACATATGTAAACCTTCTATTTTGCCCCAACACGGGGGCTTGAACTCTATATGATGCATGTGTAAATTTCTAATTTCAATAATTAAATTACTTAAATACCCAACAAAAAAAAAAAAAAACTTTACATACTCTCTTTGACCCACAACAAAATTACCCCTCTTTGCTGTCTTAATGTTCTTATTACAAATAAGTTCTCATTCATAAATTATCCAATATTACCTGGTTTTTGTTTTATTGAAACCAATACGTGCTATCTGCATTCAAATGGCCGGGAGGTCCAGAAAAATGAATTCAAGTATTTGTTGTATACTCAGTGTACTGTTCACTATTGCTATTATTAGGCCATTTCTTTGCAATTCTTGTTCAATAGTTGTTGCTGTTATTTTTCTGCTGTTTGATTTTTTGTGTTGTCTCTTCATACAGGTTGCTCATAATATATTTGAAGCAGGATTAAAACGTTTCATGCATGAGCCTGGATACATCCTTGAGTGAGTTCAAATCTTGTTTACATATATATATATATATATATATATATATATATATATATATATATATATATATATATATATATATATATTCTCTGTTTCCATGTAAATTATTCCAGTTGAATTTTTATGGTTGATGAGGATAAAATATCCTTGACCACTATTTCCTTAAATTGTTAGTAACAAATACATTACTTTTTCCATACCAGACACATTTTGAACTAGATTTTGGTGGATATATAACAAAATGCCTTGAATACCCGTTTGTGTAAATTGTTATTTGAGCATTTCAAGTTCTTTATAGAAAACAAGGTTTTTCATGCTGTCCAAGTCATTGACAACCATTTTATAGGATGCTTAAACTATATATTAAGTTCAGGTGTGTTTTGCCTTGTTAAAACATGTAAACTGGTTCCATGCTAAATTTCTGTCATGCGAATATTTGCAATTTTCCTAATTACATTTTCTCCCAGATCTCCTTATTATTGAATTATCAAAGGACGTGAAAAATACTGTTAAAGTAATGATTGATCAGTAACATTATTGTATATTTCTCTATAAATCAATGGTTAAAATTTTTTATGTTTGCCAACAAAGGTCTGATACATTTATGGAAGCTCACTTTTTAGGGCATTCTGTGATGTTCATTGTGGCTTAACAATTTCCGAAAGTATGACTAAATGAGATTGTGTTATCTTCAATATACATAATGGACAAAAGCTCAAGTGTCAAGCTATGATGAACAAGTTATTGTGAAAAGACAATTAAAAAATTTATTCAACATACAATCCTTTTTCTTTGTTTTCAATGTGGCTCATGATAATATATATATTATCACCAACACATTTTTCTATTTCTTTTTTATACTTATTATATGTTGCAGATATGCAGATTTTTTGTCACGCTTGAATGATGATAGAAACATCCGAGCTTTGTTTGAACGTGCACTCAACTCACTTCCACCTGAAGAATCTGTTGAGGTAGAAACTCATTCTCGAGATTGCTCTGAAAGCAATCACATCTAATTTAGTTTCTTGATAAAGCTTATAGAATGTCCTTGTATCGGGGGGGGGGGGGGTGGATTGTGGCTAATTAGTAGTTATGACCGGTCTTAACCTTCCTATGTTTCAAGTGAGACCATTGCTGTCCCAACTATCTCAATATAATGGTCAACATACTAAAGAATCCCAATATCAGATTTATAGTTGTCCTAATAAGGGGATATACTTGTTTGTAATAAGCATTGTGAAATTCAATTCTTTTTTTCGCACTTAATATACATCTTCCACCTTTTCCTTGTAAGTTTTTATAGCTAATCTAACATTAACGGTTTATACTACATTCTACTCATCTTTCTTCTCAAAGTGATAAGGGTGTTGGTGGTGGTGATGAAGGAAATTTCGCGTTGTTTGGATCATTAAACTAAGTAATGTGGCAAGGGTCATTATCCACAAGGACTAAGGGACATCTATTTGAGTCAACTAAATAAGAGTTGGAAAATTTCAATTAACCAACTACTAGCTACTAAACTAGTGATAAAATCCAGGTAAACAAAATTTGGGGATGTGGTTAAACTTCAATGAATCACAAACATTTTAGGTAAGCTAGGTAACAATTACCTCTATGACTATGTTAGATTTTATGTATAAAGAACAAACATGGGTCAAATTGGTATATGTGAATTGTACAAGTGAGGCACTTTAAATAAATAGAGGAGTAATAAAAACAAAAAGAAAACTGAAGTGAAAAGAAAAAAAGGAAAAATAAAAATAAAACCCCCAAAAGTTAGAACTCCCCCCCTTCCTTTTCCGTTGGCTACTCCATGAGATTTTCTTTGCTGCCCACCATTGTTAATCAATCTTGGCTGTTACTTCGTCTATCATCATCAATGAGGTCCGAAATCAAAGAGACCCACCAATCAGATCACATCTGTCAAACATTCATTAATTCCGTATAGGGCTTGTCTCAAAAGGTTTGGACGAACCAAACACCTTTAGATTCTCCGAACGCCTCTTGATTGCGGTTCGCTTGAATTCGAGAATTACTCTGTTTTCTTTGTTTGCATGGCACCAATGTAATTGGTGGGATTGTGGTGAGATCTTAGTAGTGTTGATCGTGCAGTGAGGCTGGGATGAAAGTTGGTGTTTGGTGCTGTGTTGTGCTGTGGCCTGAGAGTGGCGTTGTTCTTGGTGCGTGAGGCTGCAGGCTGATGGTGTGTTTTTGGAGGGGTGCTGCTGCATGGAGTTGTTGTTTGGAAGGTGGCCGTGGTGAGACAAGGGAGAGTGTTGTTGTAGTTGTGACAAGGAAAGTGAATAAATAAATGTCGAAATAAATTAAGAGAACTAAACTAAATCAACCTATTAAAAATCAAGAAACAGTAAATGAATTACTAAGTAAGGCCTAAAAATGAATAAAAACCACTAAAATGTAAAAGGGAGTAAAATTATATAAGTAGAGGACAAAATCACTTAAAATAAAGTAAAATGGACTAGTTATTCCCTAATCACTACATATGACTCTATGAGTGACATAAGGAAGAAAACCTCAACCAGCAATTCCAAATTTTGACCTTGGCAGGAATAAACCAGGGAAGAAACCTCTTTGTCCTCATCAACTAGCTATTATTGTAATACTTCTAATATTAGGAAAGGTAACGACTAGTATACAATGGAGGAAGTATAGCCTTGAGGTTGAGGTCAATATTCAGAATATTCATTTTGGTGGAAGGTACTGTGGGAGATCTTGTATATATTGGATACATAAAAGACTTGTTAAAATGTTAAGGATTTGGGTCTGGTCCTTTTTACCTTAAAATTTAAATGCAATAAGTTTATGTCCAGTTTCTTAATTGATCCTCTCACTGCATGTTATCTTTTATATTTTGATCTTTGGTTACTTTGTAAAGAAGTGTTTTATTCTAGCAATTATATTCCACAGGTTTGGAAGCGGTTTGCACAATTTGAGCAAACATATGGAGACCTGGCTAGCATGCTTAAGGTAGTAAAGCTAATTGTTACATTTATTTGTACCACATCTAATGAGAACAGTGACTGATAATTGGAATTTCTCCTTTCAACAGAGCATGGAGTTTGGCCTTCAGGGACCTAGTTTTCTTTGATTTTTTTTTTTTTTCTTTTTTTTTTGTAACTGATTCAACTAATATTGAGACTGCATGTCTGTAACTGTTCCGTCAAACCTGAAGATGAAGAATGGGTCTTACGTTATTTTTACTGTATGCAAATTGCAGAAAAAACAGTATTAAAATTTGTATGACTAATAATGAATCGAATATTTTTTGCCTTGTATCCAAATTGTATATTAACTTGGGCGGCACTGAAATAAGTATTTAGTTGGTCATTGTGTGATTTAATATGCATATTTGTATACATGGTAAAGGTTCGTATAGGATTTTCTGATAGTATCTGATGTTTGTTGTTAGGTTGAGCAAAGAAGGAAAGAGGCTCTTTCGAGGACCAGTGATGATGGAGGTGTAGCACAGGAGGGTTCACTACAGGAAGTAATTTCACGATACAGTTTCATGGATCTTTGGCCATGTTCATCTAAGGATTTGGATAATTTAGCACGGCAAGCGGTGTGTTTTAATTCCTGTCTAAAAAAAGAGACAAAATTTGTGATGATAGAGCAATTGAAATCAGATTATCTGATTTGCAAGTTACCTTTACATTTTCTTCTCAAATTCCTGCATTTGTGATGATAGAGCAACTAAAATCAGATTATCTGATATGCAACTTACCTTTACTTTTTGTACCCATATCCTGTACTAGTGCCTAATGTAATTTTTAATTTGTTTAAGTGTTGATTCCATTTTGTTAAAAAGATTATTGATAATTTGATGTTGTAGAGAGAAAATTGTGTGGAATGTGTATGTTATTTTCCTGGTTACTTGTGCGGCACACTGTTTCCTAATAATCAAGAATTTTTAGAGAACCCAATTTCTGACAAACCCTGGTTCAGAACTAGTTGTATGGTGGATAATAATGTGTTGATAGAAATAGGTCAGGTGTCAGTCTGTAATTGTTTATCAACTAATGTATGAAATTCCAGTGCATTATCCTTTCTTGTTGCTTCTGTTTAATTCCAAAGAGTATAGTAATCGATTGTAATAAAGTTAGGAGATCTTTTGAGTGTTTTTGGTGAGTATGTTTAAGAATTAAAAAAGGATAAATAGGATTAATGCCCATGATCTAGATCATGCAATGTGGTTGTATCACAATCAGAAGTACTCGTGTAAAATGACAGATATAGCTCGAAAGAATGGAAAAATGATGTGTAGGCTCTATGCCCAGTCAATTTCTTATAATGCTTGCATCTTATATGGTTGTACCACTGTCCACAGATAATGTAACCCTACTTTTGCGATGTCAACCATAAATGTTTTATTCCCTTCTTTTTCCTTGCATACTGGATAGGGTTGTATGGCATTAGAGACATCTGGTGTCACTAAATATGTGTAATAGATACTAGAGCACAACAAATTCTTGAGCTATAAAATAATTAGTATGTTTTGATTACTAAATGTTTCAAGAATACTAAACACATCATTTTGTTTAAACATCCAGTGGCTCACTATGAACATGAACAGAAAAGCGGAAAAATCTAACGTGCCAAATGGAGTAACTACTACAGGTACTGAATTTCTAAACACTGTGTTGATTGTGATAGATTTTCCACATTTTATTAAATGTTGATGGGGTTGCTTGTGCTACTTAAGGTGAAGAGAAGAGTACTTCAGGAGTTACTCCTATGTTGGACCAATCGTCCAAAGTGATTTATCCTGATGTTACCCAGATGATGATATATGAGCCTGGGCAGAAACAAGGTTTGGAACCAAACTTTGCAACGATTATATATTTTGTGTGCAACTGTTTTGCACAAAATGTCGCGATATTGAAATCTATGTGTAATCTTGCCAGTACATTTTATGCTCTGTAATTAGAACCTACAACTGTTGACAACTTGACATGCCTTGCAACTTGTTGCAAACAATATATATGCTATATTTTGGATTTGTACAACCAAAGTTCTAAGTTAGAGTAGAACCTTTGTTTACTATGTCCATAAAATTGCTTATTCCATAGAAGTCTCAATTTTGAGCATATGCTGAGGGTTAGCTGCTGTGAAGCAATACAAATGGCTTAGAAGGTGCAGCCTCCTTGGGCATGCCTTGCTCAATGTGTTGTGTGATTTACTTATATCATAAAAGTAAAGAGGTTTTATAGACTTATTGTAAAATTTATGTAGCTATTCATATTCCCTACATGTGTCTACTGAAAAATATTAAACTAGATGTGAAAATATATGTGAGATTAGAAAGCTGGAATAAGTGGCTAATGCAATGAAATAGAATCCTGTATATATATGTATATATTCCTCTGAATTAGAGTATGATATACTCTTATATGAATTGTGAGTCTTCGAATTCCTGATCATCAGTTCATACTATGTCATTTGAAATTTAGCCTGTTGTGCAATAATTCTATAATTACATCTATCAGGGATTTTTTAAATTGTCCACATAAATCTGACCCTAATAAAGTTTCGTTTTAATGACAAGCATCAAATAAGGCTCTTTGTATACTGAAATTTAGATATTTTAGAGGATGAAATTTTATGGGAGTCTGCTTTAATTTGATACACTAGAATGTACACTTTTAGCATTAGGCACGAATTTATAAGAATCAAGCTCTTCACACTCTTACTGGTTAAGGCATTAAGTTTATTACAGATGACGATCAAGTATTCAAGTTATGAATTTTTCACTGCATCACTCTTAAGGAGTTAACATACTTTCAACTTTTGCAAAATTAATGATAACTTCATGTCAACCTGAACGCTTAATTTATCTTAGACCTGAAATGTTGTGTTTTTACTTGTACCATTTCTGGATGTTGAAATTTTGATCATTAACTGCAGGGTCTACAGTTCTTCCAAGTGGAATGGTAGGTGGCCCTCCTACCGTCTCTACTACCATGTCAACATTTGATGGGATTTTAAAAGCAGCTCCTCCTGCACTTGTAGCATTTATAGCAAATCTTCCTGCCGTAGAAGGTGATAATTGAACTTAATTCAAGTGCTTTAATTTTTTAATTGTTTTGCTAGTGATAGATACATAAAAGTTCTATCCTCTAATTTTTTACACTTTATGCGGTGCAATATGGGATTTGGTATGATACTTATGAGAATGATGAGATTAATATTAAAAGATTTTTTTTCTATGTTCTTTTTAACCTTTATTTAATGATGATTTGATCTTAATACTAAATTTTTTCTTAATCTTTTTAATACATGTATGAAAAAGATATTGCTAAAATGTACTAGAACCCTATGCTTTAAAAGAGGAATTTGTAAATTTTGTTTTGTAATTTATTTTTGGCTAAGTATCAGTGTATAGGTGTGCCTTAGGCACAAAGTGACATGGGCTATTTACATTTACTGGTCCAGGTGAGGTGATTTTGGTGAGGTGCAGTCGGTTTTTTTTTTTCAAAATTTTTTACACCTTTTATTAAATGTGTCTCACTTCAATGTGGCTAGCCTAAGGCATAGGTAAATCCCTATCGCCATGAGCCTTCTTATATGTTGCTTGTATCAAGAAATGGCACTAGTAATTTTTGTCTAACATCCTTACTCATTTTTGTACTCAATTGCTTCTGACTGATCAGCATTTTCAAATAATCAGCCATTACTGTTAACCAAAAGCAAAGTTTGATAACTAGCCATTAAGAGAAAACTAGTGCTTTAAGTTCATGTGGTGGAATGCGCATGCACCCATATATTATCAGCCAAAATTCTAGTGAGAGAAGCAACATTTTGACTGGTTTTTCAGAATTAAAACATGTGAAGTTGTGAACACAAGGCAGTTACGAGAATGTATAATTTTCCTCATTTTTCTACAAATGTATAATTCGGCCATAGTAAGTCATAAATGCAATTTCAGTGACATCTATAGTGTTCAATTTTTTATTTTTTTATTTTTTTTTCTTCCTTTGGACTTTTTTGTAAAATCCATTTTGGGAAGAAATACAAATTCTTATTCTTTCTTTAAGTATATAATAGAGCTCTTATCTTATAATTATTAAAATTTTCACTTCTTTATTTTGAGTGTTATGCTTAAAGGGTAATGTAAAGTAGAATTTTAGCCAAGTATCTCACTCTCCCACTTACTAAATGATCCTTTGAAGTTGAAATTTATTTTCAGATTTTTTATTTTTTCCTTTGCCTTGAAATAGGTTGAGGAATGAGATAATTAGGAAGAAAGTAGGGGTTACATCGATTGAGTACAAGATGAGGGGATAATCGCTTAAGATGGTTTAAGATAGTCTAGCCATGTAAGGAGGAGACCAAGTGTTGTCTGGTAAGGAGGCTTGAAGAATTGCAAAGTGTTGTGATCGCGAGAGGTAGGGGAAGACCTAAGAAAACTTGAAAGAGGGTGATTGGGAGTTACATGACTGCTTTGGGTATTGAGGAAAATATGGTGTTGGATAGGGTGGTGTGGAGGGAGAAATTTTCATGTCAACAACTTGTCGTGATTATATATATACTTTTAATAATTGTTATTGTATTTAATTTTATTATTTTATCCCACTACTGTTTTATGAACTGTATTGATTTCCTTTACTCAAGTTTTCTCAAACCTTTTTTTTTTTTTTTTTTTTTTTTTGACAGAAGCCTTTATGTTTTTTTACGCCAATGTTTTAACCACTCCTTTAAAATTTTCTTGAATTTTATTCTTGGTTCTCTTTTATAACTCTCTTAATTTTTCTTGGATGCTCTTTTTTTGCTCACTTCACTCACATCTGTTTCAAACTCTTTCAAATGATTATCTTGTTATGTCCCTTTCTTCATATCGTACGATTCCTTATAATGATTCTTGTTAGCCGACCCCAAATCATTTTGGGAGTTTGTTGTTGTTGTTATTGTTGTTGTGGTTTTAGAATCCAAGACACAAGCTATAATGTGAGGGTTTTGAATCTTTACACAATTCTTAATCCTCTTCAAAAACAAAGAATCCCCAATCTGTTATTTTGTACTTTCACTTTGGACCATAAAGTGCCGAATGCTGCCTTTCTATTCTATAAAGGTAGTTTTGTAACCAGTATGGAGCCGCTTCTTCGCCTGAATTTCGTCGGTAGCTTGGGAACCCCCTCCTAGGAGGGGACCGATGATCGGCCACCTGTGGGACCGACTCCCGACCAGGAAGTACCGGCAGCTACTCGTCCTTTTTCTGATCAATCTCCGCCTTCTTGTGCCATAACCGGGTTTCCCCCTAAGCTGCTCAACTGAGCCTTGGATCTTATTGCTGTTTTTCCAGCTCTACCAAGCCTTTTGTTGAACAAATTAGGGACCTAGATTTTGCATTTTTCCAAGAATGTCTACTCCACTTCTGAATCCCCACAGACCTCGCATGCCCCAATAATCCCTAATTACGATTTCTTCAACCCGCGTGAGCTATTGTTTTTGCGTGATAATTTTCAATTAAACACATCTTTTGATCAAGGAAGATTGCTTAATAATCTTATTAGATAAGTGCTTTATTTAAGAAATCAGCCACTATTGTCACAAACTCACAACCATTGGAATTGGCATTGTAGTTAAGAGGCATAGAAGCATGTGGGATTTAAAAACGAGGAAGAATTTGAGGTTGATATTAGTTGAACTTCTAGTTCTTTGGAAGATGAGTGTGGGAAAGGAAGAAATGTGTGAATTAAAAATCTTAAATTAGAGCCTCCAAAACTAGGTAAGTAATTTTGATCCTAATGCTTTTTAGGAATGGATGACAAGGTGTAATAGGATTTGTAGTGAAAGGTTATTTAGATGATAAGTCTCTTATGATCATAGTCAATAAGCTTAATGGATATGCATCTTTATGGCTGGATATATAATGATGTAAAGAGCTTGAAAATGAAAGTGGAAAAAGTAAAACCTTGGGCGAATATGAAAAAAATTGATAAAAAGGTTTATACAACCTAATCGCTCCTTGGAATTAAGATCGTATCATCAACATAGAATTCTGGTTTTGAGGTTTATTTTCATGAATTTGAAAGCTGTAGTGTAACTAGTTGAAGAAAATATGGAAGAGCAAACTATAGCATGTGTTCAATTTTTTATAATTTTATTTATTTAATTTTTTATTTTTAATGAGGGTGGGAATTGTGGGAGGGTGGATCAAAAGTAAGAAACTGAATTTGAGGATTATATTTGTGAATTTCCTTTCTTACCTGGAGTTTTATCTGGTGGCCTGTTATTAGTTGCCAAGTTGTTGACCCTGGTTGTTCTGGTTAAAGAAAACTTGTGGAATGGGGGAATTTTGTTTACTGGATTTGATGCTTTCTGTCTACATGTAATATTTGTGCTCGCCAGTTTCATTATTCTGCCAATTTGTGCTTCCTTTTGAATAAGTAGTCGCTGATTTCTCATTGCCTCTAACTTTGTAGTCTACCCCACGACTAAAGTTTATTTTTTCAAATGTCAGGTCCTGCACCAGATGTAGATTTTGTGCTGTCAATATGTTTGCAAAGTAACCCTGTAACCGGACAGGCGTCAAAGCATGTGCCCTCAGCAGGTCAAGTACCTGCAGCAGCTGTTTCTGGTATAAGTGAGCCTTCTGGTTCACACAAAGCCCGTCCGGCTCCAAGTGGTTCATCTGTGAGAATGGCAAGAGATAGACAATCTGGAAAGAGGAAAGATGCAGAGAGTATGTTTTTTAATTTTTTTGCTTCACTATGTCTGTGTAAAATGCATGTTTCCTATGATGCTTTACTATGTCTCTGTGTAAAATGCATGATTGCTAAGATGCCTCACTATGTCTGTAAAATGCAAGATTTATAAGAATGGACATCGCTTAGAAGATTTTTGCAAGCATCTTAAACATGCATGATTGCTCAAGACATGTTGCTTACCACAAGGCAGCTGATAATTGAGTCACCAGAACTTTCAGGAAATATCAATCAATCAAAGCCTTAACAAAAAATTAATGGGATAATGGTTGTATCAATGTGAATTAGCTTCACTGGCAATGTATTAAAGGGTTGCTTCTGAGACCCAGAACCTTATCTTGGACCTTGGACAAATGATACATTCTCTTGCATAGAATGTGAAATATTATAAGGATATGGAAGAACACAAAAAACTTTCCATTCTCTGTTAATTCTTGTCCCTTGATAAGCTTCTCATTCCTCTCTTGAACTGGGTCCACTTAATATAGTACTCCCTCCGTCCCTAAATTAAAAGCCTCTTTCTCTTTATTATGTGAGTAATAAATGCTAGAAAGAGGCTTTGTATTAAGGGACGGAGGGAGTAATAGTTTACATTCCCTTCTTTATCTTTTTTTTTTCAACTTCTCTGTTCAACTGAAAAACTATAAATAGTACCCCCTTCGTCCATTGTTAAGTGCCATTTTCTCATATTTCACGGGTTTTAATGTAAATGAAGTATAGAAAGCATGTTTGAAGTACATTAGAAATAATTATAAAGAGTACAATATTTTGTTTTCTAGTAGAAACAATAATGAAAAAACATGTGTGAAGTACATGTGGGCACCAATTTTATAGGGTTTTTAAGGAAGTTTAGTATGTTAAAAGGTACAAAGTGGGGGTATGTAGGTAATCATACATGAGACAAAAATAGAAACAAGCACTTAATTTTGGGACACCCAATTAGGAAAACAGACACTTAATAATGGGACGGAAGGAGTATCTACTACCTAATTTATTATGCACTTGCACTCTTTTAACAGCGTCCCAAGAGAAGGGGAAGTTTTTTGTGGGACTGAAGGAGTATTACATTTTACCATTGAAGTCAGTCAAAGTCTCCTTTTCTCGAATATGCAACTCTCTGCCAGTTGCCATTTGTGCCGCCTTATAAGACACAACAGACAAGACGTCAAAATTGATACTCTCGGAAGTTTGATTCATCTACTGTAGACTATTGTTTGAGTGTAAGAAAAAGGTGGTTAAAGTAAGATGAAGTTAAACATGGTAAGTGTAAGGGAAAGGTGGATAAAGTAAGAAACAGTGAAGCAAAAGGTGTAAATAGTGTGGGGTAAGGTAGTTAAAGGGAACTAAGTCAAACTTGCTGAATCACCCCAAATGGGAATCTGAGTCAAACTTTCAAGAATGGAGAGTATATGAACTCCAGTTGTCTTACTTTTAATCAAGGGCAAAAGTTGTGTTTATTGAGGATGATAGATATGAGTATTAAGATATTTTTATGCCTATAGAATGGTCTATTTAACAATGAACTAAGTAATCTTATTTTTTCAGTGGATGATAGGAGCCTCAGATATGAGAATAAATAATGCTTGCTGCTCCATAGGAGTTTATCTTAGTTTCACATTAATTGATTTTTCTGCTAGTTTCGCCTGCAATGTATTTTTTCTTCTTGTTTTTCGTTTTGTTCAATATGTTTCCCATGGTACAAAGCTCTTCATATCTGTGCTCTTATGAGATAGTGTAAAACAACCACAACTATTTCTTATTTCGTTGATAAGTTGAACTAGAAGTTGATATGATATGTCATAAACTGATTACTAGAAACAGACCAAGTCAATCAAACTGGGTCTATGTACTCAAAATTCAAATGCATTGAATTAAATACTGAACCTTGCTGAAACCAAACATAGCTCTGTATCTACAGTTTGGATGAAGAAACTGCTGATACAGGTTTCTCAGATGTCTTTTAATTTGAAACCTAGTCTTATGTATCCAAATTTAGGTAGTTTCCCTATGTTGACGGTCTCATTAGTTGCTTGCGAGTCACGGGTTTAAAAGCTGCTATAGAACTGATTTTTGGTTATTTTGATACCTGGAGTTTGCTGGCTGGATTATGTAAATGGTTGTGGTTGGTATAGTGTGAATTCCATACTGAGTATTAGTGTAGCACTCATCAAGCTGATTGTTGTGATACTTGTGAAGCTTTATAGATATTAACTTGCTCGGGGATCATTATATATGGTTAATTTCTTTTTGCAGGACAAGATGATGATGAAACTGCTTCAATGCAGAGCTCACCTCTTCCCAAAGATGCCTTCAGATTGCGCCAATTGCATAAAGCTCGTGGAGGATCAGCTTCACAAACGGGATCAACGTCGTATGGCAGTGCATTTTCTGGAGAACAGTCTGGGAGCACTAGCTGATAGCCTGATACTGCAATTTTGTAAAATTAGCATTTGTATCACTAGGTTTTTTTTTTTTTTTTTTTTTTTACATAATTTATATTTATTTAATAATGGTTTGTATAATCCCCTAATAATGTAATGATTCAGTTATCCTTCTAATAATCTATTATCAGCAGTTGCACTCTTTTTTAGCAATACTTGTCAAATATCTTAAAATCCGTTGAGAATTGACTAGTGCTCAAGAGTGAGTTGCATGCCAACATAGCTTTGTTTTGCTTAGTAGTTTCATAATTGTTAGGAAAATAATCCACGTATGAGTTGAGAGAGACTGATTATTTGGCTGTCCAACATTAAAGAAATAGAGGAAGAATGACTAACATTTAATCGTGTGGTTTACTCCTAATACCAATTGATTTAACACCTTAACAAAAGTGAAAGGTTTATCAAAGGAGCAACTAGCCAACTAAACATAACATTCAATGTTTTGTTTCCTTTACGTCCCCAGAATAGCTTGCCATCTTTGTCTAATGTAACACCTTTTCCAAAACAATCCTAAATACACATAATTAAATATAACTAAGCTTTTTTTTTTTATTAATACAAATAAATTTCAGAGTTAAAATAAAAATTACATATTACCTTTAAAAAATGAACAATATTTTGTGCTGCTTGCAATTTATTCCTAAACCTCATCCAATTCTTGAAATAATTTATTGACTTTAGTGGAGACTTGTAGTGCATTTCTGAAATATAAGCTAATTGTTGCCATACCATGTAGAAATTTATACGTTGTCTGCATATAAATAAGGCTATTCCTAATTGCGCAACGATAGCTATACATCTACCATCTGGTAGTAGCCTTGTGGCCTCTACATATTTGACTAAGTTAATGAATATAGCTCGATCTAGGGTCCGTTTGGTACGGTGTAAAACATTTTCAATGTAAAATGGTTTTCCATGAAAATCATTTTACAATGGAAAACTCATTTTCAAAAAAAGTTTCCGTTGTTTGGTTGAATGGAAAATAATTTTCCATTTTAAGCATTTTTCATTGTTTGGTTGAATTAAAAATTCACTTGTGAGGGAAAATGTTTTCCCTCCACTTGTGATGGAAAATGTTTTCCCTCCACTTGTGATGGAAAATGTTTTCCTTTTAAATTGGGGGGAAAATGTTTTCAATAAGGTGGAAAATGATTTTCCACCCCAAGTTTTACATTTTAATGTTTTACACCAAACCAAACAATGTAAAATGGGAAAACACTTTTCAGTGAAAATATTTTACGCCCTACCAAACGGAGCCCTAATCTTAGTTATTGTTCCTTGCAATAGTTCGGACGAGCACATAAATATTTTATGCATCTAATCACAACCGGGCTCACCCCTTACACTTAAGGGTTGTCTTTCAAGTGGGCTGAGTATTCTCTTTATTTCTTCAAATGCAATGATGATCGCACAAGACCAAACCAAAGTCATATCCATCACAACACATTAGATGCAGTAGTATTATCACCAAAGTTATCAAAATCGAGATTCTACTTTGAATCGGAAGGAGCTCTTATAATCAAATTCCAGAATCATAAGATTCCAGACATGCTTAAGACGCCATACCCAAATTTAATTGAATATATTTGAATTTTAAGTTAAAAACCTACTCCATCCGTCCCCGAAACTTCGACCCTTTTGGGTTGATTTCGCGGGTATAAGAAGTTAAATTGGAAGTGTAAGAGTGTATGGGGAAACTAAGAAAAGTACATTGAAAAATGAAATTTACATTGAAATTGCAAAAAAGTAGAGAGAGAAAGTAATAAAAGTATATAGAAAAAGCAAAATTTGCATGGGGAAGCTAATTTTGCACAAATATTATTGCAAATTAAAGGGTATTAAAATGCAAATGGGATGAACATTTTGGGACTACAATTAGGCCATAAGGGTCGAAGTTTCGGGGACGGAGGGAGTAATTATTAATAGAAAATAGTTGTTTACCCGCTAAGCAACCAATAATTGACACCATATATTTATAAATAACTTTCTAGACATGTTTTAAACTTCTAAGGTTTTCGCTAGTTAAGAGAAATATGTAAAATCAAGTAGAATCACAAATTGAATCGAACGGACATACATAAATCGTAAAATCGTAAGATTCTAATTTTATAACAGGATTTTAATAATTATGATTATAACAAAAAACGATGTAAAAAAAATTATAAAAAAAAAGGAGTCTTTAAATAAAGGAAAAATTGTCACCATTAATCCCAACTTTGCTCCATCCGCTGTTATTAATCTCAACTTCAGTTTATTCCCTATCACTCCCAACTTTGTACACCTTTAATTTTTATCACACTCATATGACTTGAAATCGGATAAAAAGGTTAACTTATGGGAGCTGAGTTGTTTCCTTCCCTTATCAATGCCACGTCAGCTCTCCCTCCCAACTACCCTTTTTACTCTCTCTGCTACTCCCTCCTTCAATGCCCACTGCAACATAGTACCTTGAAACGAAAAAAAAGGAAAATTGACGCCATTATTGTAGCTTCAACCGAAATTGTACTTTGCCCTGACGTCACGGTCATCCATTTCTATCAAGGAAAAGCAACACGCGTAGTTTGGAAAGCAAAGAACTTCCATTTTAGGTAAGTTTTCGAACCCTAAATTTCGCTGAAATTGCGCATAAGTTTGCAACTAAATCTCGAACTCTAATGAATTAAACTCTTAATTGATGAATTTGTGTACGCAATTTCAATTTATTTGTTAATTATGGGTGCGAATTATTGTTTGGTTGATTTTTTTTTGTGTTTTTTTTGTTGGTTTGTGTTGTTTGAGTTCGAACCCTAAATGCTTGGTTTATATGTAGTCCTGATTGTAATGTAGTTGCTGTTAAATTAGGTATGGCTACTACTAAAATAAGCTTGAAAATGTGGCATGGAGGGGTGTTTAAACAGCTTGACAATGGTGGGTTCTGTTATAGCAATGGGAAAGGTAAAACCTTTAGTGTAGACCCTGATGAACTATGTGCTTTCTATCTTGTGGAGTTGGTTATGAAGTGTGCAAGATATGATGGTAAAATTCTGGGTTTATGTACTTGGTTCCTGGACTAACTATGGTAGATGGGTTGAGGAAGGTTAATGATGATGACAGTGTTAGGGAGATGATAGATATGGCACTTAAGTATAGGGGTGTGGAGGTGTATGCTGTACATGGTGATAATGACCCTATGCCCTTCCTTTCTGAACTTCAGCTAACTCCCTCCAAACAGCCCAAAACTGTGAGACCCAAAAAACTTCCTATAAAGAGGGGACCACCAGTAAGATCTAGTCCAAGGAAGAAAAGTCAGACATTGACTATTTGTGAACCTTCCCAAAAAGCCCTTGACAGCTCATTAAAGGCCAAAAAAGATGCTCCCACTGCATTTGTTCCCACTCCACCAACCAATACCTTATCCAACCAAAGTACTTTTAGAGTTAAATATATTATAAACCCTAACACCACATCTGAAAAAACACATCCCACGCCCTCTACCTTTCTTGCAGCTTCAAACACTAACAATGAGTAGGGATGACAATTCAATCCGAGTTCGATTCGAATCCGATTCGATCCAAAGAAAAAAAACTGATCCGAACCCGTTCAAAATTAGTCCGAATCCGAATCCGAATAGGAGGCGGATCGGACTTGGACCCTATGCAAAGTCCGACCGAGTCGAGAGTATGAGTATATGCTTTATAACTTGGGACAATTGCTTGCTTGTTTTATAGCAAAATTTTATTATGTAACTTAGTTCATAATTAAATATGTTATGTTTATACTTTACTTGGTATGACAATACAAACAATTATAGGTATATCACACATTACAAAAAAAAAAAAAAAAAAAAAAAAAAAAAAAAAAAAAAAAACAAATTTAAAAATATTAAGATAATTTCGGAGGTCCGAATAAACGGGCCGGATTTGGATCCGATAATTACGAGTCGGATTCGGACTCAGATTCGGACGGACTCGAGTTCAGATCCGAGTCTAGGGTCCGTTTACTAAACGGATCAGATTCGGGTCGGGTGCGGCTAAATCCAAATTCGATCCGTTGCCATTCCTAACAGTGAGCTTGTGAACAATTATGAGTGGGAAGATTCAAGACCTGATAGCCCTATTCCTTTAAATGATTTGATCCCAGATTACAGTTCTGAGAGTGAAAAAGATGACCCTATTTACAAACCAGAAGTAGATAAAGGGAAAGGGGTGAGTACTTTTTTGGGGGGATGTGTACACAGATGATGAAAGTGATGAGGTAGAAGGTTTGGGTGGAGAAGCTAGAGATGGGGAAGAACTAGAAGTTAGTAAGGGTTAGGGTGGAGAAGCTGCAGATGGGGAAGAAGTAGAAGGTTTGGAGGATTTAGAGGCAGAGTTGGATAAGGAAAGGGAGGAGATCTTAGATGATGAGCTGCAATACCAATCTGAAAGTGAGGATGAGGAGTACACTTTAGCTAGGAAAAGGGCTAGAGATATAACATCTAACCTAATTGACATTGCAAAACAAATCCAAAAAGAAGCAGCAAAGTGCCTGAACAAAGAGGAGGAGGAGGAGGAAAGAGCAGCTGGTGACAGGGCAAAAGTGGGTGAGGGTACAAGCACTGAAGTTTGTGAGGGTTCTAGTCCACACAGTGATTATGAGCAAAGTGATGAGGAGTTTCATACTCCACCTGACAGTGATGAAGAGGATTTACTTCTTGAAGGAAAAGGAAGTCAGGGCTATTAGTATCTACTGCACACACAGACTTGGGGACATTCAACTAGAAGGTAGGGCAGAGATTTGCAAATAGGGATGACTTTAGGAATGTAGTAGCTAGATATGGGATTCTACAGGGCAGGGATGTGTATTTCAAAGTGTGTGACAATCAAAGGCAACAAAGGTTATGTTTAGGGTAAAAATTACCCATGACAAATGGACCAATCCGGACCTGCCACGTGTCCACCACGTGGGCCAATCAACGTCCGCCATTTGTCACCCTAAGAGGTCCAACATGGACTAATCAGGCCACGCCACGTGGCCTCCCATATGCCAAATAGGCAAAATGGCCACCAAGGCCCAAAGTCCGAGAGAAGCCCAATTTGCCCTGGTTAACCTAAACCTAAAATTGGCACGCTTCTCAAGACTATAAATACTTAATTAATCCTCATTAAAGGGGATTCAGCAGAATGACTCTCACCTAGAGAAAACCAAAACACATTGATCACTCCTCCCCTAGAGGAACCAGATCTCCCACCTTTACTTTCCGCATTTATCACTCCTTAATCAAGTACTAACTTGACCGTCGGAGGTGGATCTCCAGTCATCCGGAGCATCCGTTTGTTTTGCAGGTACAGGCGTCCGATTCCAGTCTCGGAATTGTAACTCTCCCGCAGGACATCAAAAAACCCTGAAACATTTTGGCGCCGTCTGTGGGGAGAGTACTTTCGAGATGGCATCACAGTCTGTACCGATTCTAAGTGACAAGCGTCCTATGGATGACCCACAGGTCCACTCAGACCAGGATCCGCCGTCTGGTCATCAGTATGCGATCGAGGGACCTGCCCCTATTCCTAGGAACGAACTCATGACCCTTATGAGTAGTTTCAAGGGGGAGATCCAAGACTTGATAAATAAAAGGGCGCCTGTTTCCCCAAAGGAGCAGTCGGTCAGAAGGCCCTCCCAACCTGGGAGGACGAAACCTATAAAGGATCGTGAGGCGACCCCTTACCCAAAATCAAGGGCAAGGAACTCACCAGTGATCGACCTAACAAAGTACCGCTTCCCTTCTCCAGAGAAGAGGAAACCCATCCGTCTTGTTCAGCCGGCCTGATCAAACCACTCCCAGTTGAAGTTACATGCGCCTTGCATGACACTCACTGGGTACAACCGGCAATATACCAGCCTCCGAGCATCCGGCCAGGCGGCCAACTAATGCAGGCATCATACGGCCGAATACAAAGAGTCAGACGGTCAAGCTTTACATTAATCTCAATGACCTGGCAACACATGGCTACTTCCATACTTCTAAGCTCTTGACAGCTAGAGTAAGCATGCATTTACTTAAGTATATATTCTATAATATACTTGGTATATATCACACTACCATCCTAGTGGTAGCAGGCGGCTATAATTCCACCATCAACTAGCACAGGCGGTGGCAGCCATAATTACAAGCTAGCATGGTTTAGCGAGAGCCAGCTAGTTCATAAAACCAGTCGGCCAGCCATGATTAAAATAGGCGGCATCTGCAACAATTGAGTATAGAGAGCATAGCTAAGCTCAAGTCTTCATAACCTTGAAAGCAATTGTTTTGTGTGCTTGAGGCTGAGTAGGGGCTAGAGTAGGCAACACCTCAATGTCGCAGGCGTCATCAACCACCCAGCACCTGGCCAGGCGGCTACCAGCCTAGTAGCAACCAAGCAACAGCCTCACACCATCCGTCTGAAAATACAAGCGCCTCTGTTGACGAGTCGAATGGCACTATGTACTTCCATGTGCTCATGTGTTCATGGGTATTCGTGTGTTTATAGCATGCCCAAAATCTATGATACGGCACTTCAAAGACAAGGGCCTTTAAATACCGAGGCGAATGGCTTCACTCACATGGCAGGGGCTATTTGATCAAGCAAGAGGCACATCCGTCCTTAAGCAAGAGGCACCACTATGTCAAGCTTCAAGCTAGCAACCATAGCAGCCAGTCATGCTAAAACAGGCGGCTGCCACGATCAAATCCAACCATGCGCCTGGCACTTCAATGTTGGGCATAAGTTACGAGCATAAAACTAAGATAAGCATGTAGCCTAGAACTAGAGCCTTGATTGTAAGCAGGAGCTTGATGGCTCCTACCTCAAATGCATACAAGCGTTAAAAATCAGGCGACACTCGAATGGCTCAAAACAGCCGGCATAAGTAGCAAACGGCAGCCAGCTACAATGCAACCAGCCAAACGCATATGCTATGGCAACAAAGATGGTTGTATACCAACCAGCCAAGGTAGCCCCGTGTGATCATAACAGGGAGGCGGCCCTTGAGTAAAAAACAAGTTAAAGTGACACTAGGCATAATACCTAGTGTATGTGATGACCATGAAAAAAGAGCAAGAAAAGCATGCGGCCTTTTATGAACCACTTTACCCAAGTATACATTATTCAATACACATAGTATATACTATACAAATATCAGGCGGTATATAATACAAGAATCATCCATGCTTGAAAACGGGTTTTGAGAAGCTGAGCATTGGAACTCTTGCTAGAGTAGGCGGCACCTAAGAGTTGCTCCTCAAGAGAGCAAACAACTAAATGTAATAATGGTCGAATGGCACTTTATTTATATGGACTCATGGGTGTTTATAGCTAAGCTTTAATGCTGCCTATAATAACCAAATGCCATGTAGTCTCCATGAATCAAATGATCATAAAAACTTGAAAGCATACTCCCTCAACCTTATGCTCGAAAGTGGTTGAACTGTTAATCATACGACACTCCAAGCATCCGGTAACGATGGATGTGAGACATTAACGCCGTAAGAAGTTCGTGAGACATGAATAATCCTTTCAAGAGCAGCCAACAAGCCTCTCAACTCCACACAAACAAGTGGCCATCATGTGCCAAAAATAAACGGCCACTCATCAAAAGCAGCTGCATGATTACTTACAACCGTATGTGTATGATATCGCTGTTAAAGATTGTGTTACCTAGCTTGTATTAACAGGCGGCCCACCAACCTTATCCCACGCAACATTCCGGCAGTATCACAATAGAAGAGCAGCCGGCCCCATCACAGCTACAAACAGCCAGCTCACATCTTTGCGTACATAGGCGACTCTCATGATGCTTGAACAGCTTCCTCGGTCGGTTGTCGTACTTGCCTAGGAAGCGTGCTGTTTTTCCTTCAAATAAAAGCCAGGCTGAGAATGCAGTAGCGGCATGCTAATCAAACGGTATGTATGGTGGTATCATTATCATAGTTTCATGGCCTTTCTCTAAACTACCACTATCATTATTATGATTATTTTTAAAAAAAAAAAAAAAAAGAGAGAAGACAAGAAATATTAGGAAAGCCGCCTACACGCATGATCACTTAAGACTAATGCAAAGAGTCAGGCGAAATTCGGTTGTTACGATTATGAGGGATCATCCAAGCCAAATTTATGAGCCCAAGAGTATATAACTCAACTTGCTAAGTTAGGGAATCCTCATTGCTCTCATTTCAGCCGGCATTTAGTGCTCAGACGCTCAATAAAATCAAATAGTCAGCCACCCTTGTTAATGAAAACAGGCGGCCACAAGTGCTCTTCAAGACTCAAGCCCAGTCCCAGCTAGACTCACCTTAAACAACCGGAACTTGGTTGAAAGGGCATGAGCAAAAGTGGGTCTTCATACTTTTTAAATGGGGGCCGAGTCTTATGATCATTTTTGTCTAAATAATGCCAAGCACGTAAATAGCATGCAACCGGCATCATGCGCTAGTCACCTAGCTTCAGCCGGCATTTACATTATGGCTTATTGTATTTTGATGCAATGAACAAAGCCCACCTTTTAAACAGCAGGCGATGCCCGAAACATTTGGTGCTCGGTTTACTAGAAGTTCAGAGCAAGAGAAGCAAGAGCAGCCTGGGCACGCGAGCTTTTATAATCTTTGCTATATTGTTGAAACAGCCGGTAGTATGTGAGCTTACAAGCAGCCGACCAATTATTTGATTAAATGGCTATGTACAAGAAGAACATTAAACGCAAACACCTACAACAACAAGAGACCAGCATACTATTGCACTCAAAGGAGTCGGCCGGCTGTGAGTGTTCAACCAGCGTGATGGGCCTAGCAGGCTACTCATTGAGCTCTCGGCAACGAATGGGCAAGCTTAATAGGCAGTCGGTTGTACTGCTTGAGTAAATGACCAGCTGCGCTAATAGGACCAGCTCATATAGGCAATGATTAAACCGGCCGAGTGAATACAAGCCGGCACAAGTCCGAATGCTTTGAGAACAGGCGGCACTAGAGACAAGTGCAACACAGGCACAAAAACATTCGTCATATAACCTAGCTTCCCACCATATTGCATGCGTTGAGCTTTGCGCCACAGCCATATGCTGCCTAGTCCCAACGCACTAAAACAGCCGGCTCCATCACGAACAGCCAGGCAACCTCATGGACAAAAATTATACTCCGCATACCTTGAGTGTGCTTCAGCGGAAGTGCACCTTGCGATTAGATGAGCCGGCCTTGATTAAAAGACACCTTTGTTCACATGTAAACAGGTGGTAAGGTGGTTAACCTTCCAACTTGGCTAAGCAAGGAAAGCAAGAAAGCCACTAACCGGCAATGGAGCTAGCAATGTTACAAAGCAAGCGGCACATGCTCACTTAAAAGTCAGTGGTTAGCTAAAGTGGGAAGCCCTTATTGGTTGGATATGAGGATAACAGAGCAACCTTCGTATTTTGTTAGACAAGCCATAATAAGCATGGATGGTCGAGATCATCAAGCAAATCATCATGAGAACAATTGGAAATTTCTTGCTAAGTCAGAACCTTTATTGCTCTTATTTTAGTGAACGGATGCGCAATAAAATCTAGCAACTTCTCGTGGACGCTTCAGCTTGGGTAGCCGGCACTTCGATGGCACCTTCATTGGTCCTCACAAATAGGCTAGCAGGCGGCAGCTCAAACTCCAACCGGCACATCATGGTAACAGCCGGCCTATAACCAAGCATGATAAATTTTAGGAATTCTTATGGCAACAAGAGTTCTATGGTCACGAGAACAGTCGGCATTTAGTGGTCGGATGACTCAATGAAATCAAGTACCACCTCGTGGACGCTTGAACTTTAGTGGCCAGCACTTCAATGTTTGGCATTGATAAATAACACTACATTGGTCCTTATCATTATTATGATTTTCCCTCGAAAAAAAAAAAAAATTGCCTAAGGTTATTAAACCCGGCAGCATAGTCAGTAACAAATTGAAGACCGTCTCCCTTCATGGATTACCTCCACTTATTTGTGTGACAGTAAGAGAGGCGACATGAATAGTAGCCGGCCCCCTATACAATGAAATCTCGTAGCTATGAAAGCAGCCGACTCTCATTAATAACACCATCCATCCTCTATGGAAGTGAACTAGGTGATCCATCTGCTCTAACACTTGAAATGATTTCAATACTTGATACTGATTCAGAGGGGCATGCCACTTGTACCTTTATAGTCGGCTACTCTCCATTGAGTATTTTACTCTATCTTCAGAGGGGCATGCCGCCTGTACTTTTACAGTCGGCCACTCTCCATAGAAGAGGGACGGCTGTTTCCAAAACAGACAACCACCCCCTTATACTTAGCTAAAAAAGATTAGGGCCAGGCCGACCATGTGCCTAAACAAGCGGCTGCCCTCTTCTTACTTAGCACCTACGTTCGCCAAGAACTAACCAAGGCCACAGGCCCGATGATCAGCCCAGGCGCCAAGCCAACTGATCCAATCTTTAAACTAATACGACCTGTCCCAACATCATAGCAGGCGTCCGACGGCATCCCTCCGGATGAAATTCGTCGCAGAGAGCATCTCCCTTTTGGGTGGAACATTGCTCTATAAACTAATTACACGACACCTATACGACTGTCCCCAAGGGCAACCACGTAGCCGTTTTTGAGACAAGGATAACTCTATCACTAACCAAACCAGTGGTAGCAGTTGACATCTGAGTCGGATGACCCCCTGTATTACTTGGGATAAATTCAGGGGGTACCTCTTGAGTTAATAGCCAACAAACATTGGCGAATCAAAAGTTTCAGCCGGCCTCCACCGCCTGGTACCTTTACTACTCAAGCAGGAGTGACGGCGACTGAGTAACTCCCATGTTAACTCATAGTCACTCTCTCAAACTTAGTATGGAGCCTAAAAGGTATGAGTAGCCCGCCTGTTTTTAGCAAACAGGGGCTCTCAACCACTACTCCTGCTAGGTTAACAACCTTTGAGTTAATAGCCAAGAAAAACTTGGCGAATCAAGGGGACTATCCGGCCCCCGCCGCCTGGTTTCCCTACCACTCAAACAAAATAGGCAGTGATTGACTAACCGCAAGGTTAACCAGTCGCCCTCCTTAGTACGGAACCTAAAAGGTATGAGGAGTCCGCCTGTTTTTTGGTAAACAGAGGTACTCGACCACTATTCTTACTAGGTTGGCTATACTTAAAGCTGCCGTCTGTAACCCAACAGGCGTAGCTACTTTGGTTGGACGTCCTGTCTGACGCCTGCTTCTATGCAGCCACCAAAGCAGACGACCAGCCATCCACCAACGAAATAAACTAAGTACCAAACTTAGTATATTGAATCAAAAGAGGCCAATGGCCGAATAATGCTAAACGCTTACCCCTTATGCAATAGTTGACAGTCCACCTGATCAGGGGCTATCTGCATAGTGGGGCAAAGAATCGACATCTGTCTAGTTCGGCGGCAATCATTATTATGATTGATTAACTTTGAAAATGTCATACCGCCCAAGGTATCAAAATTTTCTAAGTTAATCAAGTCCATCTCCCATTAGAACTAGACAAGATGCCGACCTAGCAAAGCTTCGAGGGTCTAACTTTCTAAAGGAGCAATCCCTCCTGGAAAGAGAAATTACTCCTTCCGAGGGGCAAATGTTTAGGGTAAAAATTACCCATGACAAATGGACCAATCCGGACCTGCCACGTGTCCACCACGTGGGCCAATCAACGTCCGCCATTTGTCACCCTAAGAGGTCCAACATGGACTAATCAGGCCACGCCACGTGGCCTCCCATATGCCAAATAGGCAAAATGGCCACCAAGGCCCAAAGTCCGAGAGAAGCCCAATTTGCCCTGGTTAACCTAAACCTAAAATTGGCACGCTTCTCAAGACTATAAATACTTAATTAATCCTCATTAAAGGGGATTCATCAGAATGACTCTCACCTAGAGAAAACCAAAACACATTGATCACTCCTCCCCTAGAGGAACCAGATCTCCCACCTTTACTTTCCGCATTTATCACTCCTTAATCAAGTACTAACTTGACCGTCGGAGGCGGATCTCCAATCATCCGGAGCATCCGTTTGTTTTGCAGGTACAGGCGTCCGGTTCCAGTCTCGGAATTGTAACTCTCCCGCAGGACATCAGAAAACCCCAAAACAGGTTAGGTGTGAAATGCCTTAATAGTTGCCCTTTTTATGTTTATGCTTCATGGGACAGCAGGAGAGCATGTATAGTTGTTAAAACTGTGAAGGGTGTGCACAATTGCCAGAGGAATATGAAGAGGAATAGACAGCTTAAGACAAGTTGGGTAGCAACACAGTTCCTTAAGGTATTCAAGACAAGGCCTCACTGGCCTGCAAAGGAAATTCAAGAGTGTGTGTTAGGAAATTAGAATTTAAGATGTTGGTGAGTAGGGAATTTACTTATAAAGTGAAGTACAAGGCTCATAGGATGTTGCATGGTTCTATGCTTGACCATTACAATAAGCTTGGAGGTTACGTGGCTGCATTGCAGAGTAGCAACCCTGGTACTCAGTTGGAGTTGGTTACTGACACTGAGAAGGAACCTCTAATTTTTCAGAGGTTGTTCATCTGCTTTGAATGGTTGAAAAGTGGATGGTTGGAGGGATGTAGGAAGGTACTAGCAGTATATGCTTGTTTCCTGAAGACCTTTCTGGGAGGACACCTTATGTCAGCTGTGGGAAGAGACAACAATGATCAAATGTTCCCAATTTGTTGGGCAATTGTTGAAGGTGAGAACAATGAGTCCTGGGAATGGTTCTTCAAACAAATGCAATCATGCCTTGATCTTAAGGATGGGGAAGGCATGGAAATCATATCAGATGAGCATCAGGTTAGAACCCTTTTACTTTGAATTTGCTTTGCTAATGTAGCTACATATGGAAATGGCTTGACAAAATTGTAACTTGTATTATTTTGCAGAGTATCTTGCATGGAGTTTCAATTGTGCTCCCAATGCAGAGCACAGGCATTGTGCAAGACACATCTTTGCACACTGGCACAAGCAGGACAAGAGAGATGAATTGAAGTTGCTGTTTTGGAGGGTTGCTAAATCTTATAGCATGGCTGACTACAATGAGAACCTAGAAAAACTTGCTGAAGTCAACATGGATGCTGCCAATGATTTCACAGCCTATAATCCTAAAGTATTTTGTAGGGATTTCCTTAACCATGCCATACAAGTCACATTGCCGAGACATTCAATGGCTACATCATATAAGCCAGAAAAAAGCACTTGATATACTGCTTAGAGGATATAAGATAAGCATTGATGCAGAGGCTTGTTGTGAAAAGGCAAGCAATGATGAAAGCAACCACCATGTTGTGTTTAAGGATTCAAGCTAAATTGGATATTGAGAAGCAAAAGGCAGCTGAATGTGAGGTTTTGCCATCTTCTAACCACCTTTTTAATGTGAGCTACTGTAATACCCCTTTTTTTTATGTATTTTATAAATTATTTAATTAATTATAAAATATATTTTTAAAATACTCAAGTATTTTAATTAAATATTTAAAGGGCAAAGTATTTAAATTATTGAGTTTTATAAAAGTATAATTTATTTTGGGCTAAACGTTTATTAATCTTTTAGGCTCGTTTAAATAATAGTATGTAAACAATCCTTACATACTCCTTGTGGACCAACCCATTTCATTTAAGTAAGCCCAATTATTTTATTTGCACCCTTGTGGGTCAAATATTTCATGACTAAAGTCCATTTGTTTATTAAGCCCAACCCTATCTTTATTCCCTACTCTATAAATACCTCTCAATACCCCAAAATTTTCCCACACAAGAGATCAAAAATCAGATTTTGGGGTAAGTAATCTTTTCTTTTCCCTTATTTTTCTTTTCTTTTTCTTTCTTTTCTTTTCTCCTTTTTCTTATTCTTTTCTTTCCTTGCATGTTGCTTTGGTTCATGCATGAATGCATGGCCAATTGCTGCTTTCATGTTTTGCAGCAACCTCACGCCACTCCCCAGCCAGCCGGCCACCTCCCGCCGGCGACCCACGTCGGCAACCATCCCCACCGTGAGCCACCTTTCTCTCTATCTCCTCCTCCTTGTTTTAAATTATTGTTTTATGTAGTATATATTTTTGGGTTTTTATTCTTGTTATTTAAATATGATTAGTATATTTTATAATTGTGTTTTGATAACTAAAGAGTATAAATTTCTGATTTTGTATGGTTTTAAATTATGGTTTTTATAAAAGTATTAAAAAGTTAGGGTTTTAACTATTAAAGTGTTGATTTTTAGGGTTCTAATAATCAATTAAATTAGGGCTTTCATTCCTATTGAATTTATAAAGATTAATTAAACATAAAAACTGATTTTCGGTAATCAAATTCCGATCTCCATTCTTAATTATTTTTAATCACGTTTTAATCCCGTTGAGATTATAACTCGTCCAATTTTTACAAATAAATAGTGTTTTTCATGTGTAAACAACCCTCTCGTGGCCAAAATCAGCCTCTAAATAGGGTTTTCGGACAGTTTTTGATTTTTGACGAAGGTTTAATGTTTTAAAAATAATTTTCAGATTTATTTGGGGGGTTTAAATTTTAAAAAGTGTGCTGGAAATTTTATATAAACACCATGAATGAGTTTTTACTTTGTGGTTTTAATTACCCACTTAAAGAAAGAGTTTTAAAGGTTTTAAACCAAAATTTCAGCTTATTAGAGAAGGTTTAAAGTGTTTAAAAGTTGCTAGAAATTTGTGTAATCAAGGAAGTAATTGATTTTATGTATTTGGTATTGTAGGAGACTTTAAGTTGAGTAATTTCTAGCATTGTGGCTAGTTGGAAAGATGATTTAATTAAGGTACGTATAAGAATACGAGAAAACTTGATTTTAGGAGCATGTTTAGGGACTTGGAAAAACCTAGAATCATGCTAGGGAACTTGTGGATTGGTTGACATTGTTTGGTAATGAGTTGATTGATGATAAATGTGATGATTGGTTTAATTTATGTATGAGAAAATTTGCATTGATTTTCCTTATGAGCATTATTTATGCAATAATTTGCAAAGTGAGCTTAGAGGCAAAAATACAAGGATATATGGAATGAATTATTTTAATTACTTATTCATTTGTATTGAAATGGAATGAGTAAAGTTAGAGTTAAAGTCTTATAAGACAAGATTGTGGATATGAGGTGCCTTATGCATTTAAGGTGTTTATACACCGAGGTAGTTAAAGGATTCAATAATAAATGTTGTTTGTCACTGATAAATTAAGAATTGAATTGGAAACTTGAATGATTTGAATGATTGATGTATGATTGGTTGTGTTGTTTGCATATGAGTCATCACCAAATTTAAACTAGTAAATCACGTAAAGTGCAAGAAGGATGAGTAATAAAACTCTAGATTTGTGCACATCTAAAGTAATGACAAACGGGGGTTGGGGTTCATGGGGTATTAGCCGTGCACTTTTCAGAGGCCGTCTGATCTACGAGTCTCTTGTTTTAAATTCTTTTAAAATTATAATGAGTTAGATGAGATCTCATACTAGCTATGGCCACGGAGTCGCGCCTGTTTGACATTGGATGTTTATTAATGTCTTTCGAAAGGAGGCATAGGGTTTTCTTATTTAATGTTTCGGAATGGAGCACAGGGGGACAACCCGGTCTATTGCTTAATCCAATTAAATTAATGAAGTGATCAATACTATTAGAGAAACTTAGTAATGAGTAACAATTGAATCATGTGTTCGAGTCAATGATTATATTGTGAGTGTATGGAATGCTTGATAGTATCATGCTAAGACTCTTTACTATATTTCGTAGCTTGTATGTACTCAGCGATGCTGATTGCGTGCTTTTGTGTGTTTCTCTTGGTCATGGCCTTCACCTTCAATGACCTTGTAATGATCCAATTCTTACACTTGTAAAATTGGGGAGCAGATTAATCACAGGTTTTTTCATAAACTGACTTGCATCAGGGTGATGGGATTTGAGTGGAGCGTTGGCTGATTACTTAGCTTAATTTATATCATATATTAAATTTTATTTTGGTTCTAATTCCATTTACTTCCTATTTTACTAGATTTTGAATAAGGGTCGTTATGGTTCCAACTTGTAAGACTAAATTGAGTTTTGACTTTTAGTTTTGAAATTTATATTCTTTTTTAAAACTAAGTTAGTTTTCCGCTGCTGATTTCTAAAACTAGCCTTAACGTTTGAATACGTGGCGGTAGCACGCCAGTAATTCTCTCACAGGTTATTAGAAGTATTTACAGGTTAATACAGGTTTTAAAGAGAGAATTATTGGGGTGTTACAGCTACTACTTAGACCAATTAGTGGTCGATTTGGAAACAAGAAGCTGCACCTGTAGGAAATGGGAAATGCTTGGCATCCCATGTTGCCATGCAGTTGCTTCAATTTACTTATTAGGCAAAGAAGCTGAGTTGTATGTTGATGAATGCTACCACAAGGCTACCTATCTCAAAGCTTATGCAGGTATGTTAAACTTTGTTGGCTGATAATTCTTCAATTTACTACTTAGTCAAGTATGTGTGCTTATTGTTATTGTTATAGCTTGTATAATGTTGTTTGGTGATTTATGTTGGTGAATAATGACTTTGTATTTGTTTGGTTTAGGGTCCATTCCCCCTTGTGAAGGGGAAAGGCATTGGCCTAAGGTCTCCTGTCCAATTGACCCACCTTCAATTAAAATTGGACTTGGGAGACCTAGGAAAAACAGGATCAAAGATCCTTTTGAAAACCCTAAAAAGCTAGGAACCATTAAAAGGAGTGGGGTTGAAATGACCTGCTCTCTATGCCACACAAAGGGCCATAACAAAAGAAAGTGTCCTCAGAAGGACACTTCCCAAGCCCCTCCTCTTGCTGCTAAAAAACCTAGAGGGAGGCCTAGGAAGGAGCCTGTGGTTGCAGAAGCTGCACAATCTGCTCAGGCCGCACCATCTTCAAGCCACCATTCTCTGACTGCACAGCCTACTCAACTTGGTAGAGGAGGAAGGATGATTAACACGGGAAGGGTTTCAAGAGGTGGAAGGGGAGGTGTTGGGTCTACTTCTGGAAGGGGAAGGGGCAATGTAGATGTTGGACCATCTACTAGAGGTGCTGCAAGGAGCAGAGCCAAGGGAAGGGGCAGAGGCAGAGGCGGGACCCAACTGCCTGTTGGTGTATTATTTGCACCTGATGGATCAGCAATAACTTTAGTAAGTTGATTGCACTTGTTTCGGGGTTTTTTTATGTGTCCTGCGGGAGAGTTACAATTCCAAGAATGCCCTTCCGCCGCCTGTACCTGCAAAACCACGAAGACTCCGGTTGGGTGGAGCTCTGCCTCCGACGATCAAGTCAGTGATGTACAGGAGGAAGATAGTGCGTAAAAGGGTGAAATTACTTCTCACGTAATGGGAGAATTCCGCAATTAATATTGCTCGGTTTTGGTGTAAGTGTATTTATGAATGTATTAAATTTTCTGAATTGAATTGAATGCCCCATTAATGAGGATTCTCCCACTATTTATAGTGGGGAGTATTGGTTCCCCATTTAGGGTTCCTAGGACACGTGTCAGCAGGGGATTGGAGCCCTGCTGACCAATAGCAAGGTGCCACGTGTCGCTCAGCCATAGGGCCACGTGGCTGGGGTGATTTTACCCCAAACAACACTTGTTCTTTGTTTAAATACTTAACACTAAATGCCAACTACTGTATGCTTATTCCATGGCCTGTTTGCAGACATCAAGTAATCCAAGAGCACCAAGATCAGGCCCAACTGGAGCAGCTGCAAGACCAGGGCACAGATCAACTATGGCTTGGTTTCAGATGAGTCAATCAAGCCAGACTTCGACCCTGCATCAGCCAACTCAGTAGTGGATGTCTCACCAAGTCCATGTTTTTAATGACTAAACTCTGTTTTAAGCCATCTTTTGGGTTACATTGTTGTGTTAAGTCTATATTTTGCAAACAATGTTTATGTAATGTATTAAGCACAATGACAGTGACTATGTAATATTTTTCAAACACTAACTCTTTATGAATTGCAATTGATCTTCACAAAATGTCTTTCATTAATTCATCATCATCATACATTAGATTAAGTGGCTTAGATACAACATCTACCTAACCTTATGCCCTAAATAAAGCCACCCAAACCACCATCATCAATACAACATCACTTTTAAGCTTTCAAATAAACTAGAAATAACATTGCAAAGAAAATCCATGACACAAAGAGTGCAACTGAGAAATTTTTTTCATTCCCTGCAGCCTTCATTAGTTCAATTCGAGTGTGAGAGAGTTCCATTTTTGTATCGTTCAACTCCTCTATCTTCATGTCCAATTTAATCTCCACAACCTTCAATTTGTCCTTCATGAAATCAACCTCCATTTCCTTCTCAGCAAGAAAAGTCTATTTTTCAAAGAGCTTAAATCGCAAATCATCATCAACTCCATAGCTTACAATAACCCACTGGAAAAAACCACAATCACCCACCTGCAAATACAAAATCCCCAATCCAATTCAAATTAAAAACCCTAATTCCTATAATTCAACACAACAATTTTAATTGATTGGGGAATTTAACTCACCGGCCACTTAGGGCAACCATAAAACTTCATCCCCGCATTATCACCAGTTTTCGCAGTTCGAACCACCGCAACAGCCCCACATCTGCACTTCAATCTTGAAGACACCCAACCAACTGCCCTTGACGAAGAAGACCCACTTGACATTGCGCGAAAATGGTGATACTCGTTGATGGTGATAAGGGTTCTTCTTGCTTCACATAGAATAGGGAAAAAGAATGGTGACAGGGCTCTTTGTTTAGGAGAGAGAGAAGAAAAGTCAAACAATTTAACAAAAAATATTAAAAAAAAAAAGAACCATTGGAGATGACACGTAGGATTGCTACAGGCTACAACAGGTCACTTAACTGGTAGGGTGTGATAAAAATTAAAGGTGTACAAAGTTGGGAGTGATAGGGAATAAATTGAAGCTGGGATTAATAACAGCGGATGGAGAAAAGTTGGGATTAATGGTGGCAATTTGAAAGATGATATAACATATATTAAAACAAAGATAAATAGTGACAGTACATCAAATTGCCATAAGCTATTTAAGTGAAAAAAGACCTCTTGGAGTAGTGGTCCAGAGGTCGCCTCACATCCTTAAGGTGCGAGGTTCGATTCTCATCAGGCACAAATCCCATCCCCCTACCCCCTTCGACAATTGCCAGTTAGACTTCCCAAATCGTTTGAAGCGACTATAGGCAAAGAAAGTCATGGATGTGGTGGATATGGTGTAGAGCCAAAAGCCGTCTCTAGGAATAAGAGTTTCTGCTCTTTTAAAAAGGGTGCCAAAAAGAGGTTAATACCATTATTGCCTTGCCGTAAAAATTGCATTCATTGAAACACAAAAGAATCACCTATCTCTTTAACTTCCTTTATACCATTTTAGAGGTTCTACAATTTGGAAAGATTTATTATTTAGTTGGTGGTGCTGATAGTTCGTCAACCTCAATAGACATTTTTAAAAGATCTATACAAGCCTGAGGTCAATTTTTTTTTTCCCACCACCAACACTTCCCTCACTCTTTTGTTTTCCTTGATGGTTTTAAGGGGACTTTTGCTCTCTTCACCGAATTGACATTGTTCCTAAGATCATTGATAGGCCGTCGTCGAGCCTACCAATTAAGATAAACCTATCTTGGTCTAAATAAACTAATAGCAAGGGTAAGAAAAGGGTTGAACCCAATAGAGGCATTAGATCATCCACCGATATGTTATCGTCTGAATAGGCTAAATCAAGTCAAGTTTGTTTTGGATTTTTGATTAATTACTAGTTCAAATCAACTAAAGGCTAGGAGGAGATTAACAATATTAAGAGAGGTCTAGGG